ATTGGATGCTGAGAAGGCATTTGACAGGGTCAAGTGGCCTTACTTGTTTGAAGTTCTGGAACACTTCAGTATACCGGCCCGGTTCATCACAGCAATCCGGGCCATGTATACTAATGTTAAGGCACAGGTTCGGATCTCGGGGGCAAAGATCACCCCGTTCCAGCTGAGCAACGGCACGAGACATAGTTGCCCTTGCTGTTTGTTCTCTCTCTGGAACCCCTATTGCAAAAAAATCCGCACTACCCCAGAAGTTAAGGGCATAGCAGTAAGGGGACAGCGGACGATCTTTTATTAACTCTAACGGACCCAAAGGCATCTATGGTAGCGTTAACGGAAATCTTGACGACATACAGCACCCTAGCCGGACACAAGGTTAATCTGAATAAGTCTAGCGCACTACCAGTGGGTATGTCTGGGGAAGATGCCGAGTATATCGGAATGAAATATCAGATACAAATTGCGAAGGACTATATTAGATATCTGGGCATACGGTTGACGGCAGATCCTCATCACCTGTATCAACATAATTACGCCCCGCTAATTCTTACCTTGATGAGCAATTTGGAACATTGGACTGACAAGCCGATCTCTTGGATTGGAAGGATACATTCAGTGAAAATGAATGTGCTCCCTAGGATACTATTTCTTTTTCAGGCCCTCCCAATCCGAGTGACTAGGTCAAACTTAGGGCCCCTCCAACAGGCAATAGGCAAATTCATATCGCTAAATAAGAGACATAGAGTACCATGTAATGTGCTATATATGGCAAGGAATAGAGGGGGATTGGGGCTCCCAAATCTCTACTTTTATTATTTGGCAGCACAATTAGCTCAAGTAGTGCAATGGCACTCCCCCCCGGAGGAGAGACGGTGGGTTGATTTAGAGTCCTCTTTTCTGGGGGCAGATATGCCTCAGTTTCACATATGGATCCCCAGGGAACACAGGCCGAATGCCCGGACAGCATGCCCAGCGACACTAAATTCTATTACATTGTGGGATGCTGCCGCTATTAAGTACGGCTTGACTTGACTTGAACTCACATACACCGATCACTGGGAGGCGGACCTCGAGGAGGCGGTCATCTTACGCAAGAAAATCTCAGCTGTGTTTGGTTGTCGAGTGTCTGGAACTCAAATCGGACACTCAAACACCTGAACACCGCTGAGACCTCCATAACTCAACGGAGGGGTCAGTCAGCCCCTCATTCGGTAAAATAAATGTACCGAACAAGGGAATACATACGAATATAAGATTAGCTGTGGATGGCAAGTATTTCTGTGTGTTTTAGCTACGAATGGAGACCGACCGCAGCGCCAAAACACATGGAGCCCTTTTCGGATACTACCTCGTGTGGGGTCGGTCAAATTTCACATTCCATCTAACTCCCGAACCCCTGGTCCGATCTGGGTGAATTTTGAATATGTTAGTCACCCAGATCTGGGCTACAAGGGGGTACCCAGTATATCATTCTATCTGCCTGTTTTGGGGTACATTCAGGAATCGGGGAAAACTACAGTATTTTTAATTGGATTATGTGTCACACTGAGGGGAGGAGATGTGTGGGAGGTAACGGTTACACTATTGGCTACTGTAATAATTACTGTGAATCCCTCCCTTGCATGGGAGAAAGCTTTAAAAGAAGGTTGTTGGGAATAAAAGTTTAATTCTGCTCCTGATGCTGTGTGTCATCCAGTCATTGGGATTTATATTGGGATATTCTTGGATTGTCTTGCCTGCTGTAACTATTGCCTTATGGATTTTTAATACTTGTTCCGGAGCCTCAATGGGATCTTGAGTGGAGATAACCTGTGGAATATCAGCTCTCCGCTACACCACTGTTACTACGCGTCTAGCTATTAAACTATAATAGGCAGCAAAAATTGTGATTATCCCCGAACGGGGGGACTCTGGGGATTCCCCCTAGAGGAAATGAGCAAAACGGATTACCTCTGTATGTGTGTGCGTATAGGACATGGGTCTGCCAGCTTCCGGGAATTATAGCTATTGATGGCTCTCTCCGACTCTCCCCCTTCCCACACCCTATCCTTTCCCTACTCTTATTCTCACGAGAGAATGTTTCCTCTACATTCTTTCATCTCTTTCTTTTGTTCCAAACAACTATACAGCGTGGGTTTGCTGAAGTAATTAAAGGAGGACGTGCATACAAAAATCGGAATACTTGCGTACCCCGTTTTTCTTTATATTTATAGGAAGCATGCATTACTCATGAGATCTTCCACGTTACACTGGGAGAAGTCTGTATGGTTGCCTTAGGTTTTATCCTATTTGTTAAAAAACACCAGGATGGGATATATGCTACAATATCATTATAAGTCGTACAGCATAACACGCGGCAGCGAACACTCTACGCGGTCATGAATGCCATTTTAAATCACAGTGTTAATCGAACCGCCATTTAGCTGACATAATTTTCTACTGTGTATATATGTAACTTCGACTGTGCACAACCTAATATAGTTATGTTTGTAATGTATTCTGTTAACCTGTCTTGGAATAAATAAAGAATAATAAAAAAATAATAATAATAATAATAAAAAAAAAAATATATATATATATATATATATATATATGTGATATAGTATTATATTTTGGTTGCAAACTTAAAGGACCACTATAGTGCCAGGAAAACAAACTTGTTTTCCTGGCAGTATAGGGTCTTTGGGCCCCCTCGCCCCCCGCTCCCACCCTCAGGGCTGAAGGGGGAGGGAGGGGTTAAATTCTTACCTTTCTCCAGCGCCGGGCTCCCACAGAGCTGGGGACTCTCCTCCCTCTTCCGACGTCATCCGCTGAATACGCATACGCGGCAAGAGCCGTGCGCGCATTAAATCAGTCCATAGGAAAGCATTTCTCACAGTGAATTTCTCTGAAACTGCTATTGTTTACAGCTGCAGGGTTAACCCTAGGTGGACCTGGCACTCAGTGAGCTGAAGTGGTCTGGGTACCTACAGTGGTCCTTTAAGACAACTTTGCCTTTAACATTGTATTTACATAGCACGCATTACAAATTAAGCGCCAAAAATGGGTGCAACGGGTGGACTAACAGAAGACACATAATTGTAAGCTGACGAGTTGGACGCACAGGATCGGGGGGTTAAGGGCCCTGTTCAATGAGCTTACGTTCTATGTACCACCTGTACGCTCCATTGATCTATGAGATATATCTCTCCTCCCCAGACCTCTCCTGCAATGTGTCACCTCTTGCCTTTCTTCTATCTCTGATTGGATGTCCTCCCGCTTTCTGAATCTGAAACTTTCCAAAACAGAACTTCTTTTCTTTCCTTCTCCTAATATTAATCCTCCTCTCTCACTCTTCCTTCAGATTGGTGGTACCCATATCAGCCCAGCCTTACAAGCACATTGTCTTGGTGTTACTTTTGATTCTGGCCTCACCTTTGAGCCTCACATCTGGTCTGTTGTCAAATCATGCCAATTCCACCTCAAAAACATCGCCCGCATCCGCCCCTTTCTTACACAAGATGCTACTAAAGAGCTTGTCCATTCTCTAGAAATCTCTCGCATGGACTGTTGTAACTCTCTCCTAATTGGTCTTCCCAATAGCCGTATTGCCCCGCTACAGTCTGTAATGAATGTTGCCGCCATACTGATTTTGCTCTCTAGTCGGTCCTCTCACACCTCACCCCAGTCCTTACATTGGCTTCCTGCATACTATAGGAGCCAATTTAAAGTGCTAACCCATACCTATAAAGCACTGAATAATCTTAGCCCCTCTCATATCTCCTCACAGATCCATAGTTATGCCCCTCCTTGGTCTCTCCGCTCTGCCCGTGACCTTCTTCTGTCCTCTGCTGGTACCCGTACAGCCAACTCGCGTTTGCAGGACTTTTCGCTGGTGGCTCCCGTCCTATGGAATAGCCTGCCTACCACCATCAGACTCCCCTAGTCTTCAATCATTTAAGAAGTGCCTTAAAACTCATTTCTTTAGGAAAGCCTATGGCCTCCCAGACTAACCTCTACCTCACATACCTGTCTCTTGCTCTCTCCTAAAGGGCAGCACTCTGCTCTCTCCTCCAGCTCTGCTTCACTCCCACCTTATTTGATTGCTATTTCCTGTCCTAATGTGTTTTATACCCCACATCCTATAGACTGTAAGCTCGTTTGAGCAGGGCCCTCTTCAACCTATTGTTCCTGTAAGTTTTCTTGTAATTGTCCTATTTATAGTTAAATCCCCCTCTAATACTATTGTAAAGCGCTACGAAATCTGTTGGTGCTATATAAATGGCTTTCATAATAATAATAATAATAATAATATGTAGAGGGAGCAGGTATAGTGACACAAATGGTAAGGGTAGGGTAGAAAAACAGTTTGCCAGCACTGTAGCGGTTATATAGTGTTACCATAGCCTATTTTCCTTAATCATGGTCAGTCTATAGAATGTGATTTTTCAATGGTAAAACCTTGTTTTAACGTTCACGATTATTTTCTCAGCCACAGAACATCACTTTAAGACACGATAGGTATAGGGGTTCATATTTGGGCTGCCAATATTCCTTGTTCCTTGGTCCATATGGGGAGGGAGGGAGGGAGAGAGAGAGAAAGAAAGAAAGAAAGAGAGTCTCCCCCGCCCCCCCGGAGGGCCCCGGAGATATGACCATGTATCACACTCAGCCGTAAAGAGACTCACACAGCGACAGCCCACAACAACAATAATAACGGTCTTTCTGATGACGTAGTAACACATGTGACCCGCAGCCTCTCCCTGATTGGTGGATCAGTCCGTTTCATTGGACATGGCGTACTCGATGGGCAAGTCCTTGGTTACCATGGAACGCAATGCGTCTTTCAATATGGCGCCCTAGCAACCTGTGCGAGCAGCTCCATCGGCGATCTATGAGACGGCTATGGATGGCACTGGGTCTCCGCTCTTACTCTGGGCCGCCTGTGCTCTGCTGGTGACAGCGATAGGAGCCCAGAATATAGCGGGTGAGAGCCGGAGGGCGATCTGACTAGCTTTACGGAATGAGGCCTACTCTGCTCTCAGTAGGATAACATTATTCTGATTTATTTCATTAATTGGGCTGTGTTTACTAGTTCTAGCATTGGAATATTATGTATATTAGAAATAAAACAGCCTACTGAGAGTATGAGACAGCTTACTGAGAGTATGAGGCAGCTTACTGAGAGTATGAGGCAGCCTACTGAGAGTATGAGACAGTCTACTGAGAGTATGAGACTGCCTACTGAGAGTATGAGACAGCCTACTGAGAGTATGAGACAGCCTACTGAGAGTATGAGACAGCAGACTGAGAGTATAAGTATGAGACAGCCTACTGATTGTATGAGACAGCCTACTGAGAGTATGAGACAGCCTACTGAGAGTATGAGACAGCCTGCTGAGAGTATGAGACAGCTTACTGAGAGTTTGAGACAGCTTACTGAGAGTTTGAGACAGCCTACTGAGAGTATTAGACAGCCTACTGATTGTATGAGACTGCCTACTGATTGTATGAGACAGCCTACTGATTGTATGAGACTGCCTACTGATTGTATGAGACTGCCTACTGAGAGTATGAGACTGCCTACTGAGAGTATCAAACAGCAGACTGAGAGTATAAGTATGAGACAGCCTACTGATAGTATGAGACAGCCTACTGAGAGTATGAGACAGCCTACTGATTGTATGAGACTGCCTACTGATTGTATGAGACAGCCTACTGATTGTATGAGACTGCCTACTGATTGTATGAGACTGCCTACTGATTGTATGAGACTGCCTACTGAGAGTATGAGACTGCCTACTGAGAGTATGAGACTTCCTACTGAGAGTATCAAACAGCAGACTGAGAGTATAAGTATTAGACAGCCGACTGATAGTATGAGACAGCCTACTGAGAGTATGAGACAGCCTACTGATTGTATGAGACAGCCTACTGATTGTATGAGACAGCGTACTGAGAGTATGAGACAGCCTACTGAGAGTATGAGACTGCCTACTGAGAGTATCAAACAGCAGACTGAGAGTATAAGTATTAGACAGCCTACTGATAGTATGAGACAGCCTACGGATTGTATGAGACAGCCTACTGAGAGTATGAGACAGCCTACGGATTGTATGAGACAGCCTACTGAGAGTATGAGACAGCCTACTGAGAGTATGAGACAGCCTACAGATTGTATGAGACAGCCTACGGATTGTATGAGACAGCCTACTGAGAGTATGAGACAGCCTACTGATAGTATTAAACAGTCTACTGATAGTATGAGACAGCATACTGAGAGTATAAGTATGAGACAGCGTACTGAGAGTATACGTATCAGACAGCGTACTGAGAGTATCAGACAGCGTACTGAAAGTATAAGTATTAGACAGCGTACTGAGAGTATAAGTATTAGACAGCGTACTGAGAGTATAAGTATGAGACAGCGTACTGAGAGTATCAGACAGCGTACTGATAATATGAGACAGCATACTGAGAGTATAAGTATTAGACAGCGTGCTGAGTGTATCAGACAGCGTACTGAGAGTATAAGTATTAGACAGCATACTGAGAGTATAAGTATTAGACAGCGTACTGAGAGTATCAGACAGCGTACTGAGAGTATGAGACAGCATACTGAGAGTATCAGACAGCGTACTGATAATGTTAGACAGCATACTGAGAGTAAAAGTATTAGACAGCGTACTGATAATATTAGACAGCATACAACCTAACTTATCTGAAAATATAGCTTTACTTGGAGAATTTGTCCCATTTGGCTCTTCTGATGTGAAATGCACAATTCATTGCAGGGTGTATTTACTAAACTCTGTATTCTGGCAAATTAATACCTGAATAGAAACATTCATGCCAAATTAGACTCGCAGTGATTTTAGCTGTGTTGAAGAATTTTCAGAATAAGCGTTTTTTTCCTGAAAATTCTGAGTTTTGTTTGAAGACCCCTATGCATTTTCAACCGTTCAGACTACTGAAAAAACACACAGTATTGTACTTTAAACTATAATCTGATGCTTGAGCATTATGAATGTTACATTTAATGTTATTTTAATGCATTTTCTGTATTCTTTAGGGTTTTTTCCTTCCAGGATACTTTTGTCTGGACCTACAGCAACATCTTACTTCGTTGGAAACACATCTGTCAATTTATATCTGGATGTCATTGCAAATACATGTATGTTAACAAACTCTTATCTATTTATGTTGCCTCAAGAAAGTAAATTATTAAAGACACAGTTATACTAAACAAAGTCTTATCTACCACATCCAAAAAACCCTTTATTTGAAATCCTTTGTAATATCAAGAAGTATATTTGAAATATAATAAAACATATTTTACCTGATATCTAAGTATTGATTATTAAAATGTATTTCAAAGTAGCATATATCAGTGTTGTTATTCCTTGAGTCACTATGGTTATTCAGTAAGTATGTGTATAAATATCTAAGTATCAACATTCTGTTACATTAGAGCCGCACATGTACCTCGTTATAGTGTTTTATTGCTGAGAGGAGTTGGGGAATTTACACTTTATCCAAATGTAGATTGTGATAATTTAAAAAAACACTATTGTAAATAATGAAGTCCTGTGAAAAGAACAGTTTAATAATCAATAAATATTTTTTTCTCCCTTCATCTGTTTACATTTAGCCCCATGCATTTAACACAAATATTTAAATTGAAATGAAACTTGCCTGTAATTCAAGCAATGTAAACATACGGTATGTGTTTGACAATTGCTGGGATCCCCGAGTCCAGTGCTTCTCATATAGAGAAGCATTGAATAAAATGTTTCTTACAGAGAAACATGGGATGCTTTCTCAGGAAACAGAGTCAACATACCATGCAAGAAGACACCGGATGTAGATTAGGTTCAATTATGAAATCTTTTTTTAGTCTGAAGGCCTTAGCTGCTTTGTGAATGGCAGCCCCTAGAAGTGTAGGGACAGCAAAATTTAATGGAACTGTTTATTAGAAACAGCATAATATCCAGCAGTTAGAGAGCAGGGGCAACATCGGTGTACCAAAATCAATTCATTAAGATGGAGTGATTTTTGGTGCTTTGACTCTCACTTTATAGGTCAGTGGATATGCCATAGAGTAAATGACCACGAGAACTGTCTTTCTAGAGGGTGAAATACCATTGTTTTAAATCTCATACTTTAGTTTAAATTTATGTACAAAACATGTAAAAATATATTGAAATATTCATTATTGTAATATGAGTTAATGTAACGTTTGTAACAGTAACAAAAGTGAAATTTATTTTAAATTAATTTATAATATTACAAATCTACTAATGTAAAAGTAATGTAACGCTAATGAAAAATGTAAAAAAATCTTAACTGGCTTTAACTGATCTGTGAATTTTATTGTTTCAGCTATAGTACCAGAACCAAACTGTAATGGCAATAGTAGCACTGAAAATTGGGCCTCATTTTTGGAAAGTGTCACCTCCACTACGGTTAGCATGTTTTATCCATGTACATACATATGTATTATGCATGTAAATCCTACTTACAACTCTTCCACCTTTTTATTATTTTTATTAGATTTTATTGTATCTGATTTAAAAAATAAAATAAAAAATGATAGCATGCAATCCAGAATAGAAATACATTTAAATCTCTAAACCTTTTGAGCTTATTATATGTTCTAAATTGTAAAATGAATCATCAGAGACATGGACATTCCATAGAGACTGCACCATCACAACATTTGCACAAAACTCCTCATTATCTGTGCAATTCTTAATTCTGTCCTCATTTGTTTTGTAGAACTTGTATAAAGTCACTGTGACTTTGAATACGACCTTGTCATGCATTCTGGATAAGACTCCGTGTTTTGTGGAGGCAATTCAGGTTTCAGCATGTCAGAGTAATGTACCTATTGCAAGTCTCCTAATTCAAGCAGAAATCTATAGCAACACCACCTTCACAGGAAATGTGTCAGGTAATGTAGATGGTGTTTAATGGAATAATGAATTGTTTGAATTCTAGATCAGCTTTCCCTAGTTACAATTGGAGTTTTGTTTGATTAAATCAGGGCTGTGCGGTACATCTTTTTGGTGTTGCTGGGGAAAAAATCCCATCTACCTTTCTCGACCTTAATAGCAATAGACGATTATTGGAGTTGTGTGACAACAGCTGGGAGTGTAGGGTTGGCCAGCTCTGTTTTAGTGTCAAATAACCATGCTTGTTCATTTTTTTTGTATGTGTTAAAAAGCATTTGTAGTCATACTGTAATAGATGCAAGGTTGTGTAAACGACAGGTTAAACAAAATATTTGAAATTCAGTCCGACTTGCGTCTTCAATTAAGCAGTTGTTGGGTCTGAGACAAATTTACAAAATTAAAGAAATGAACCATCTATCAATTAAGCAGGTTGATCATTAGATTAGCTAGAGATTGTTAGTGTGGTCAGATATACCCCTTGTTCACCATCTCCTATTTGGTGATGCTTATTGTGCCCATTCTTGTACCCCTCTTTTATTTACAATTATAAGAAAAATAACACAAAACAACTGTTCAGAAGATGTAAAATGCTTTATTTCGGCAGACAATGCAACAGTGATACCTACCCAGGCATATCAACCACTTGGACCATGTCCCTGTAACCTGACAGCTGGCGCTTGTGATATTGGTTGCTGCTGTGATCAGGTAATTTTTTTTCCATATACATATCAATATGGCTTCTTAATAAAGCAAAATGATACCATTCTATAAAAGAGTGTACTTTGTAGTTTATTATTATTATTATTTAAAGATGATATGGTGTACTTATATCATGCTTTGTGTTCTTTCTGTTTTCATTGAAGGAGTGTACATCAAGCCTCAGGGAGCTGTTTAATGGATTCTGTTACACTGGTGTGTTTGGTGGAAATGTAACACCGCCTTTTGACCAGCTCTGTAGTGTTCAGCAAATTAAACGCGCTCCGGATTGGTTTCCGTTCCTCTGTGTTCAATCATCCATTGACAATTCACCATTTCTAGGTTACTTCTTCCAAGGTTCAACTGTGTAAGTGGAATTAATATCTTTATGACTGTTTTCACAAGTACAAGTAACAGCATTCAGATTACCATGAATGTGTGCTTCTTATTGTTTTCGTTGTGGTTATTTCTCAGTTATAAAATATAAAACATTTGTTGTGTCTGCTCATTTTATTTGTCAGATCATTTAATAAATGGATTGATAATGGCTGTGGCTGACCTGGTACTTAAGACTCACACTTGCTTTGATGATGTGGATTTTTCAATGTTAATTTTGTCCTAAGATGAATGTTACATAAATTGACATAGACATAAGTAAAATTTTAACATATTCAACAATAAATTCTTTCATAGTTATTCAAGAAACTTGGAATTGTGGAGAATTGACCAGGGAATTGGTAAAATGGAAAAATAGCTGGGTTTAGGCAGTTATTCCAGTTTGGCTATTATGACCTACAGTCGGCACCTCCTTCGTCAATTCCTGTTTGATATTTTAAGCATGGCTGAATACACTATTCTCTGATGACTTTCTGGCTTTGACATGTTTACAGATCTGTCACCCAGCCCTATACCTTCAGTGTGAGCTCCCAGTCCATTGTCCAAGCTTCTGTGAATCCTTATAAACAAGGGGATCCCATTTTAGTACAGCAGAATGGGTACTATGTGTATCTTACAATTCCACAGGTATGGTTTCAAGCATCTAAAAGTAATACTGATACTGTGACTGAAATGTTTTTTCTTTCTTTTATTTGTTTATTTTTAAGAGAGATATGAGTATGATTTATTGTGTTAGGCTGGCCCCCAGAGCAGCACAAGATTGCAGAACTAGAGCTGTCTACAGCCTGCCTGATTACTAAATTTGAAAATGTAAATGGGTTGGCAGTCTTACCCTACTCTCTCCATACTGTGTTACTGTGCAGGGATAGGCAGGGTATGGTAATTTTCTTAATACTTTCATTAGTCTTCTCTTATAGCTAAGGTAGCCTTATGCCTATCCCAAGAATGCTAAATGGTATTCTGGTGACAATAAATTGCCTGAAATTGAACCTTTTGGAATGTCCTTATCCTTTCTTTTGAAGTATTACATTTGGGATTTGGTGCTGAACCCGGATCTGGTTGCACCCTGGTACTAGGGTTGGAAGATTGAGTGCAGTTCCTGTATTACATTGATGCTCCTATCAATCTGACAGCTGATAAAGCTTGATAAAGACCACACTGGTTGAAACATTGTTTTGCACATTCTGGTGACAATTAATTGCCTGAAATTGAACCTTTTGGTGTGCCCTTATCCTTTCTTTTGAAGATTGATAGGAGCAGGCATCATCTTCTGTGATGACCAGTATATACGTTTGGCATATTATTACACAAGACTATCTATAGACGATTGACCCTGTATTTGTAGTCTCATGCATGCTCGAGAGTACAATAGTGTCACTGGCTCTTGTTTAGTGAAGTTACGAAGAGCTGAAAAATTATGGTGGAGAGAAGATGGAGGTGCCTGGAAGGGAGAAATTAAGATAAGCGGACATGCCATCTTGGTGTGGGTCTATGCAAAAAAAAAATGCAAAGACCCCATAAGTGATATTGCTGCTTTAAGGTGATCATAACATCGTGACAACCAGTGTTGCAGGGAAGTAAAATGAATAAACAAATGCATATATAAAGAAATTGCAATTGTATTGTTATTCTGGTTTTATTTTAGCAGTCCACACATGGAGGATGTGAGAGTAATGCCCCTGTGGCTTACCTTCAGAATTTTGTCTCTACATGCGTTACTTATTTGAAAACATGTGCCGACGTGTTGACACCAAATTTTAATGTGACTGTACAGGATGGCAAAGGAGGTGAGGTATCCACTTTCCTATTAACAAGTGTAACAATGTATATTTTCAAAGTACTTCCTTTTACCAGTATGTCTTGTTATATATCCTTCTGTCTCCAATCTTACTTATGATAATTTGCTACATTCTGTAAAACATTTTAGATAAGAGTGCTATATAGCAACTGTTTGTTAAACAAATAATGTGCCTTTGCAATTTTTTAGGATCAATTACTCCCCAAATAGTAATTCAAAACAACACTGTGGACAGCGGGACAGTTTCCGGTAAGATTCTTTTGTAGCTGCATAATGTATATTACTATATTTTCTTTTTTAACACAAAATTGTACAATACAGTTCATGGTTCCTTGTCTGGGTAAACAGAACGGAATTGTTTTCAAATGCATGTTTTTTTTTTTCCTATGTCACAATATTAATAGGCATACAGTGTCTGGGCATTATATCATCTGCAAACTACACGTTTATTTGGGAGTCCAACACACTTCGAGGCATTAATATAACCGTCCTTATTGAGAATATCAATCTGACTCTTCCAGGTAACTGTGTTTTTTTTGTTGTTGTTGTTTTTGTTTTTTGTCAATCCCTTGATTCTTTACAAATAAACTTTCTTGGATTTCCCCTGAGCATTATTTTAAAGAGCATCTTTCACCATTCCATACATTAAGATGGGTGTTGCCATTTTGACTTGCTATTCTTTAGTTATCACCATTTTTATTTCACTGGCAGCTTCAGCAGGGGCAATTAAAACTCTGTGTGTGTCAAACTCAACTCCAATCTTTTATTAGACTGTAACTGCTTTAATTTTCTGCTAAAGCATTTGGCAATCAAAGATTAATTGAAGTTAGAGCAGTTAGAGGCCTGAATTAAATGTGGGTCATATCAATGGGGATAAGAACTGGTGGTATGCAATGCATAAGTATTCGGTGAATAACTGGATGTTAGAGACTGACACTGTAAATAAAATTGCTTGAGCATTTGATTGCTCTTTTAGTAGCTTTATTGGATAATGAGCTAAACAGTATATTATAATGCTTGAGCAAGAGCATGTTAAGACTTTTTTCAACATATTAATACTATGTACTATTCAATAGACTCTGATCAATTCCTCTTGTCATTGCTGTATGTGTAAACTGTGGAAAAAGATGTAGGGCCCCCCTCAAGACCCTGAAATATGGCAGTCCATTTGAGAGGCAACTGCTACATGAACTTCATGTGTCAACCACAAAGATCATGCCTATATACTGATCGGCCAAAACATTAAAACCAACTGCCTAATATCTTGTAGGCACCCTTTGTACTGCGCAAATAGCTCTGATGCTCTGAGGCATGGACTCCACAAGACCTCTGAACATGTTCTGTGGTATCTAACAGATATTAACAGCTGATCCTTTAATCCTTTTAAGACCTACAAATTGCGAGGTGGGGCCTCCAGGGATCGGAGTTGTTCCAGCACATTCCACGGATGCTTCATTGGATTGAGATCTGAGGACTTTGGAGGCCAATGCGACATCTTGAACTCTTTGGCGTGTTCTTCAAACCATTCCTGAACAATTTTTGTAGGAAGGCAGAGTTCTTTATCTTTCTGAAAGAGGCCAATGCTATCAGGGAACACCATTGCCATGAAGGGGTGCATGTGGTCTGTAACAATATCTAGACAGGTGTTCTGTGCCAAAATACCATCAACATAAATGCTATGAGCCATGGTTTCACGGCAGAATATTGCGCAGAGCGAAACTCACGACCCGCCTTCTTCCCATAGTGCATCCTGCTGCCATCTCTTCCCCAGGTAAATGACGCACATGACATACACCTGATCTAAAGAAAACATGATTTCTCAGACCAGGCAACCTCCTTCCACTTCTCTATCGTCTAGCCATCACTGCTTGGCCCTAAATCATAAAAAAAACCAACAGATTTATAATGGATGGTTAACACATAGCAATTGCATATTATTGCTGATATTTTCTTTCTTTCTTTTCCATAGCTCCACTAACTCAACAGTTCGCAGTAACCTTTCTCACCAGTGACAATATCAATGCATCTGATGTTCTCTCTGGAAATCCAGGTCTGCTATCTTACTACTGCACTATAAAACATGCTTTTTCAGCATTTCAGACAATTAAAAGTTTAATGACCAAACAGATAAGTTAATAATGGTAGCATTACTATTTCATTGGTGTTTGAAGCTTCATATTGTGATCTTTCAAAACCTTTCCCTCTTAAACAAAATAAATCTTCTTTACCACCAGTGTATCTGTTTTAACCCCTTAAGGATGGTGGGTGTACTATGCCGTCCTTTGGGACCCGGTCCTAAACACAGGTGGCTGGCATAGTACGTCCCCGACGTCCTGTAGACCAAAATTACAGAGAATGCAAGGAAGCTGATTATGATCAACAGTGTCAAAGGCAGCAGAAAGATCAAGGAGAATTAGGATAGAGTAATGGCCGCGAGATTTAGCAGCAATTATATAGTTGGATACTTTAGTCACAGCCATTTTGACAGAATGTCCAGCGCGGAATCCAGACTGAAGGGGGTCAAGCAGAGAGTTGGATTTAAGAAAGTCAGTCAGTCTGATGTACACAACTCTCTAGAGGATCTTGGAGGCAAATGGGCAATAGCGAGATAGGGCGGTAGTTGGATGAGGAGTTGGGGTCAAGGCTGGGCTTTTTCAGAATTGGGGTTACAGTTGCATGTTTGAAGGGTAAGGGGAATGTGCCAGAGGCAAGGCAGAGATTGATTTTTTTTGTGAGAGGAAGAGCAAGAGAGGGAGACTAAGTGCGGATGAGATACAAGGGAATAGGATCGAGGAAACAGGTGTTGGGGCTGGAGGACTGGAGCAGAGCAGAAACCTCTTCTGCTGTAGCAGGTGCGAATGAGTGTAGAATGGTGGAGGGAGTGGGGTTGGGTGATGTATTGGTAGGGGAAAAAGAGAAATCAGAGATCTCTTCTCTGATTGTAGAGATCCTCTCAGTGAAGTGAGATGCAAAATTTGTGGCGGGGGAGTAAACGGTGAAGAAGAGCATCAAAAGTGTGAAATAGGAGTTTTTGTTGCTGGGACAGTGCAGCGGAAAGGGCCAGGCTGTAGGAGCACAGCATAACATTATAGTGGAGGAAGTCAGATGCAAAGTGAGACTTTCTCCAGCAGCGTTCAACAGTTCTAAAACATTTTTGGAGGTAACGGGTCAGCTTGGTGTGCCAGGGTTGTAATTGGGAGCGCTTGCTGTGTTTAATTGTAGGAGGTGCAATGATGATGAGTTGTAGAGTGAGGTTGCAGAGTTAGGGCAAGTTAGGAGATGGGTAAAAGGAGAGTTTGGAGTTTATGATCCAGTACAATGATACAAGGTTAAAAACAGAACATTGATGTATAAAAGTATCTGGGAAAAGAATATGGAGCATAAGATCTGCAGAGAAGTTCAGGCATAATTGTCCAAAAACATTCTAAATAGGTCATGTTAGAGGAACTCCAGTAACAAAATGCTAATGGAGGTAGCTATTTATAGCTTTTTTTGCCTTGTGTTTTATGGTGTCCAATACAAAGTTATACTAGAGAAAGGGATTTTAAAAGCACAGAAAATGGTCAATGGTAGAAAAGTAGACCAGTTATGGGGCATAGTTTTAGCATGAATCAATCAGTAGAAACTTCCCATGGTAACTGTGCTACATTGACACACACTTTTTATTTTTTTGTAGGTTACCAAGTTGGCAAGCCTGTGATAGCAGCCAGTGGAAGTTTACCTCTTAATAAAACGACTCTCAATCTTTGGAAACCTGGTAATAGTTTGTGGTCTAGATTTCTAAATATATAAGTATCCCACACATGCAGAGAGAATAACAACACTGAACATCAGGGAGCATCTGCCTTGGGTTCAGATAATATCATGTAAATGAATATCATCTACTTAAGGTTAATAATTTAATGCTGCAAAGTGCAAGTATGTAAAATGATTCCAAATGAAATGCAACCTTTTCATGAAATTGGTAGACCCGGCAATTCATTCCTTCTGTACAGTGTCAGATCTGGCTACACGTAGGTCATCCTAGTGGGGAAATAATTCTGCCGCAGGTTAGTCAAGTTGCAGTACATTTTGAATATATTATGCAAGAAAATATCTCGTTATACTGTAAAGAAAGTGTGATGCTTACCTGCACACATCGGAAACGGCTACTTCATTGGTAGAACAGGGGAATTACCTTGTCATATTTACCTGTTCATTTTGGTTTTGTTCCTAGGTCAAATGGCGTACACAGTCAACCTGATTCTAATTAGAATAGAAACAGAGCATCATGGAGTATATTCCGAGAAATAGGATCTCTCGTCCCTCTCTGTCTGAGATCTTGTGACACTGACATTATAAATCTAGATGAATATTATTTTATTGACTTGAAGTAATTTTTAAGATCTGAATCTTAATAATATAAATGCATTTTTTTTTATTGTTGCACGTTTAGTTGTTCTGAGGTTTCATTTGAATTCATCTCTTTGTATTGCAGCTGGAGATAGCTTGTGTTCCTCAGCCTCTCCTACACCTGTTTTGTTCGGACAAAATTCCTATTCTGGGTGTATTTTGCAAGTGGTTAATGAAGACTGCAATCAGATAAGGTCTGTTTAGTAGATTTTATTTCCTGTTTTTCTTTTCTTGCAAAGATTTTTTTATTTTTACTGAACAACCTATATTTGGATAAATGACAGCTAAGTGACAGTTCCTCGTTTCATAACCCCAGTAAAAGCTATTCCAGTATTTACTTGGGTAATAAAAAGCAGCAGTGGTAACAAAAAATGCCCTTACCTCTGCTATTCATTGTTGGACGTGTCTTCTCCACATCATGATGCTTGGGCAAATTTGTGCATAGTCTGGCATCTGCACAGAAATGTTCTATGAGGGCATTCCTTCATTAGTGCTTCATGCACACATGCACTGTGCATAGAATACATAAAGAAGTTTAATCTCTCTTACAGGCTGAATTTTAAATAAATAAAACCGATTATCACAACCATTATGTAACTTTTAGTTAGCCTAGCAGTTTGAGCATAAATCTCATTATTGACATTCATCTTAAACTGAATTCTGTACATACAGCAGCTAACCATGACTATACAAAGGACCTATCATTCACAAATGGGGTAAGTATTACAAGTTAAAAGGACCGGGTACCAACACAATTTAAATGTTTCTGGCCTTATGTTCATACTGCAATTTTCTCCACATTCAAAGATTTTATTTTAATGTTTTTAATGCTTTGTCAAATGTGACTTGAGGAAGGTGTTTCAGAAACCAGCAAATCTAAATCGATTTGAATGTGGAGAAAAAAAAAAAAAATCAACCTGAATATCAAACCTATTAAATGCACTTCAGATTTCTCAGAGAATCCCTTTAAAAAAGGGGGACTATAGAAACATAGAATGTGACGGCAGGTAAGAACTGTGACAAACGCCCTGTATTCTGATCGTTTGCCAGCAGCTCCTGGAGGAGCCCTGCTTGCTAGCCTCCTGCCTTTAGGTCTATGGGCCCTGCATTATACCTTGCCCAATGCACTTGAAAAGGCTCCATTCATGTGAGTTATGTACTTTTGTACTCCAGAAAGAGAGACCGACCATTAGTCCTGATTCCCTGGAACTGTTTTGGGCATAGGACTATGTGCACGGTCAGTCAAATAATTGACTTCCATGAAAATCCCAAATCCCTGAACCGATCCCTGATTTGACCTATTTTGTATGGGAGTGTCCTGGACCTGAGATCCAATGTAACTGTGTGTATACTTTTACTGTAGTCTACTCTCAGGTCCAGGGGGGAGTGCCCCTTGCATGGGGACCTGCATATAAGGCCAGCTGTGGCTGCCATTAAAGAGATTCGTTTTACCCTTCATGTCTAGGTTCATGTTTGGGGGATTGGAGAGCTATATTCACTCTGGGGATTGCTATAATCACTATACTCCCTTGGATCACAACGATTGCTCTTGTAAGAGCAGCCTGCTGCTCTCATGGGACTAGGAGAGATCTACCCACTGGAAGCTGGATCCTGGTCTTGGGTCCAGGGTGGGTGGAGGACAGTGAGACCCCATCTAAGCTGCAGCAGTTTGTGGGGTTTATGGTGGTTATGGTGTTCCAGTGCGGTGCTTATGGTGCTCGCAAGTACTAGGAAGCAGCGATTGATGGAAGTACCCGGTCGGGATGCCAGGCGGTCCGTCACAAGAACCATTCGGCCCATCTAGTCTGCCCAATTTGCAAAATACTTTTAATAAGTCCCTGCTTATCTTAAGTCTAGGATAGCCTTATGCCTATCCCACGCATGCTTAAACTCCCTCACTGTGTTAACATCTACCACTTCAGCTGGAAGGCTATTCCATGCATCCACTACCCTCTCAGTAAAGTAATACTTCCTGATATTATTTTTAAACCTTTGCCCCTCTAATTTAAGACTATGTCCTCTTGTTGTGGTAGTTTTTCTTCTTTTAAATATAGTCTCCTCCTTTACTGTGTTGATTCCCTTTATGTATTTAAATGTTTCTATCATATCCCCCCTGTCTCGTCTTTCCTCCAAGCTATACATGTTAAGTTCCTTTAACCTTTCCTTGTAAGTTTTATCCTGCAATCCATGAACCAGTTTAGTAGCCCTTCTCTGAACGCTCTCTAAAGTATCAATATCCTTCTGAAGATACAGTCTCTATACACTATAACCACAGTATAGTTACCACAATGGTAAAAACTATTGTAATAATCTGATCATATGTACTGTAATAATCTGACACACAAGACTTGGGGTTCATCATTTAGCAGAACTGTAATATCAAAACTAGGCATTTTAACAAATAATCTTAAAAATTATAGCAAAAGGTGTATGTTAATGTGTTTATTTATGTTCTAGATTATTCAGTAAAAGGTTGACCCATAACTATGTTTGCAGTGGAACTAATGTAATGCATCAAGTGCTCTACTCCAGTAACATTTGTAGTACACGTCTTGCCCAGTTGACCTGTGGGTGGCAGACTTGATGACAGCCATGTTGAAACCGCTTTTCTTTTTTTATGGTTACAGGGAGAATGTAACTGCCTTACTGAAATCCTTTGTTCCAGTTAGTTACATAGCAATGAGCGGCAACTCTAATACCACTGACCTCACTGAATGGGTGTCCATTATCTGTAAGTCCACCCAAGATCTGCATTATTGTTAAATCATATGTGGGATAGTTATTGTATTGTAAACACGTGCAGGGATGTGAAATCCCAATCACCAACACATTTAGCTCCAGGCGTCAAGCCGGCAGTTTTTTTTCTTGTTTGTGCGATTGCGGACCAGTAGATTGCAGCATTGGCGACAATCTCTGTATATGTGTGGGATGAGCGGGTGCTGTCACAATTTTCTTGTCCACAGTAGACAGCGCTAAATTTACACACAGTGAAGTTGTGGTAGCTGTGAGCGATAGGCTTGCTGGCAATGAGGGGTCATGGTCTTTATTGCTACAGGAATGGGAGAGAACTGCTTACAGATATGAAAGGTGGGAGAATGGGATACTGACTGTGGGTGTGATGAAAGAAAGCTTATTAGTCGGTCAGGAGAAATTGGGGTGCCAATACTTACATCTTCACAGACTAACCTTCACACACATTTGCCCCTGGATCTACACACATATGGACCTTCACTTACACACAGTTTTTTGTATGTTTGTGTGATGGCAAGTAGATTGGTCTATTGGTGTTATTTGGTTGTTTTTTTTCTTTATAAATTTCAACACCTGCCTTTCCTTAAAGACCTTGTCTAAAGAAGTTTTCACTACGTATTTGTCATGCATTATATAGATATGGGATAGCTACAAGATAAGTATTAGATAAGACGTTTATCATCAGATGATCTGAACTGCTCTTAAACAAATAGCATCCACATCCTAGCTCTGCACTATTTAATGTACTACTCTGAATTTTAGCCTCTGCATTGTTGTGTATCAAGCATGCACAGCCTGCCATTGGAAAGACACTCTCACAAACAGCGACAAAATTGATATAAGCAACCTGGAAGTATTGTCTTGCCTGATTAATATTGTTAGTGTGCGTCGTTAGCGGCAGTGATGTTTCTAAGTAACTGCATCAATAGCCCACTTTAAAAAATAATTGTGAGATCCGGGTGCTCAAAGCACTAAATGCTTTGCAGCAATGCAAAGTGCTTATGGTGCTTAAACTGACTGTAATAGAAGAGACATGGGAATATCTATCTTACTGTGCTAAGTATTTCCTCCCAGTTAATTTGTCATTCCACATATCTACATTCCAAAGTGATGCTATATTTTCTCTTACGTTTACAAATGTTTAGCAATTAAGCTCACAATCCACGTCTTGCACAACCAATTAACCACAAATAATACTCCAATATGTTCTTAGTTGTTCTGTGTCCCTTTATTAAAGTGTACAGAGTAACATTTCAAACTTTCTCTATCAGGCACTGTCAGGGCACAAATTGCAAATGAGTAGGAGAAAGATTTCTCCTCCTTTCTCTATGCTGATTGGCAGGTTCAATGGACAAAGCTAGTCACAAAGATTGCCTGGGAGAAAGCTAAAGAGGTGTGGATTTCTTCATTTCATTTAATGAACTCACAAATATCTACTTTTTAATTACAGTCATTATATTAAAAATCCAGGGAAATGACTTCTCCATTTTAAAGCTAATTTTAAAATTGTGTACCAAGTAATTTAAATAATGTATAGTTGAATTGTTTTTGTTTAGATGAAGAGAGTAACTCCACTTGTTTGAGTGACTGTGCAGCACAAATCGTAATGTGCTTAAACGTTCCTGTTAACATGAACATACAGATCCTCACTGCAGTCACTGGAGCAGTGGAAGGAATTTCACAGGAAGAGATCATTGGAGTGAAAATAAGGTTAGTTCATGTTCTTAGGTAATGGTTTTATCCATATACACAAACACCTATATATACAGGCCTTAAAGACTTGGAATTTTAAGTACTATGCTACTAGCCAGCATACTCACCAGGGGTAAATTTCTACTTTCTGGTACTCTCACCACTGGGACTTTCACGAAGGACTGAAATGTTGAACTAATATTGCTGTATGCAGGCTGTAACAGATCACCTGGTACCCCGATTGGGCATCTCCGTTAACGGATGCTTCCTAGCTGACGCCGAGGACCATAAGCACCGCACTGGACACCACAACCACCGCAGACTCCACAACCGCCGTAGCTTAACTGGAATCTCGCCATCTTCCTTCCACCCTGGATCAACCTCTGACATCCAGGACCGTGTGGGAAAGACCTCTCCTCCAGGAGAGTGTATCAGGAACAGCTCTTAAAAGAGCTAAGTGATTAGAGCTCAGGAGAGTATGCAAAGTATAGCAATCCCCAGTGTGATTATAGCTGTTCCCCTCCAATCACGAGACAAGACTGTGTGTTGAAGGTCAAACAGGAACAGAACGTTTAATGGCACACACTGGTCTTTTATACAGGTTTTACAGCAAAGGTGATGCCCAGGTGAACCTAGTTGGGCACCGAATACAAAACATACAAACCAATGAAAACAAACAAGGAACGACACTCCCACATACATTACACAATCCCTCCTCTCTGCCTGTGATACAATTAAGGTAGATAATACAATAGGCAGAATAGACCTTAATTTTCCCCAAAGTACAGAAAACACCCCCAAACATAACATATCCCCATCTTACATCCCCTGATAGCCGTGATCTGGGTGAACAACATATCCAAAAATCACCCAGATCAGAGCAGGGGTTCAGGAAATTCCTGGAAGTCTCTTTTGACTGAACGCACGCATATTTTCATGCCCCAAACAGTTCCATAGTATTAGGCTGTGCGGCCGGTCTGTTTCCAATAGTTCAAATACCGTTCGAATTACCGAATGAACTGGTGAATGGTCATATTCTATGTGTGTATATAGAATATAGAATGCACACTATAACAATCTCAAAAAAACTTAGCTTTATTATGTACAAAAAAGTACCAGAGTGAAAACATATAAGAAAAGATAAACAAAGTGACAGAAGCAAGGGCAAACACAATAAAACAATAATAAATTACCACAAAAATTCTTACAAGCCTCAAGACAGAAACACGAGTCACCAAACCCCCCAACGTTTCAGCACCAACTGGCTGCCTTTATCAAGGGTACCTGGCCGTACTATTTTGTCTCTCCATGTGCTGTTGTTTTGAGCATATTCTATGTGTGTCCATGGTTCGTGTGTTTAAATGTACCGAACACCACTGCGTTCGTATGAAAAGATACAAATTGCCGTAAGTCCCAGAGGTGTTCGTGTGGAATAGTGTCCGAAAACAGTTCCATGCGGTCGACGACAAAACACTGCTGGCCATTCGACAGTTTAAGATGGCCGCCGCCATGTGTTCGTTCATACGAATGATGACCACCCAGCCGTTCGTCAATTAAGCTGCGGTTAACCACAGCTTCTGGGAGGTTAACAAGCAGCACACTCCACTTGCGGGTGGTTCGGCTGTTCATCAGTTTGTTCGGTAAACGAACACCATTAGCACAATCCATTCGGCAAGCCCCATTCACTGAACCATTGCAGGGAAAAGGCACGAACAAAAGCCTTTCCCCAGTCCTGAACCAGAGTCCAATACAGGGGCAATAATCACAAGGCAAAAGGCCAGCCATTAGTCCTCTCCAACAACTAGTGGCAAAGTGGCTTTCGTCACACAGGCTATTGCAAATAAAGGACATTTCACTTAATACCACACCCCTACATTAACCCCAACTTAAAAAGCATCATGTACATAAATAATTAAGAAACCAGTTCAATGTATTCTTAAATTAGTATCTGTACATGTATAATTTCCATTACAATGTCTCTTGAAACCCAACACAGGCACACCTCATTCTACTAAATGAGGTACTGATTAGGTGAACTACCTAAACCAAATCTTATTTAATGATAAAAAGTATAAAAACAACTGCTATAGTCAGTACTATCCTCTTGCAGTAGGAACAGATAAATGTCTAAAACAGCGCTTGTAAATCCTCACCTTAGAATAAAATTTTTTAAAAAACTATTGAACATGCAAAAAGAATTTAAAAGAAAGGTTTTGAGTAAGGAAAAGTATACTTAATTTCTGGTTGTATGGGTAGAGGTATAATGTATCAAGTTGCTTCCATCCCAAAAATGGCAAACATGGCGGTTCATAAGAACGAGGTCAAGCAGCAGATATTGGGAGCAATAATGCTATAGACCTGTAGAAGATAAAAATGACTCTCCATTGACCGGGATGACCGCCAGCTCATTACAATGTCACTCTTCTACAATAGAATTACATCATGTCAGCTGATGTGAAATGCACGGCGAGGACATTTTGAATCTTGCTCCTAGAGGCAGATCTAAAGTCATGCAAAAATAGAAAAAAAGCCATTCACCGTTAAGAAGCTAAGAAGATCCAGGCTGAGGTTTAAAACCCTTAAGGATTGGGCCATAGAGGACCGAGTCCAGTTTTCAGCTTTGCCCATCATGTGGTCATTTAATGGTTAGGCAGAGACCTGGAAAGGCAACTACTGTGAGATTTAGGAGGATCAGTGAGGATCTGGGTGTGCTTCATCAAGGCTGGAATCAGCCACATTAATTTTTGTGAAGGATATATGAATCAAGCCACATGCAAAGTTGTCTTGGAAGAAAACTTGCTTCCTTATGCTCTGACAATGTTACTCAACTCTGAGGATTATTTTTTTTCCAGCAGGACAATGCTCCATGCCACATAGCCAGGTCAATAAAGGTGTAGATGGAGGACCACCAGATCAAGACCCTGTCATAGTCAGCCCAATCTCCAGACCAGAACCCTATTGAAAACCTCTGTAATGTGGTCAACAGAAAGATGAGTGGTCATAAACCATCAAACAAAGATGAGCTGGAGTGGCATACACCCAACAGCAATTTATAGAAGGAATCTAAAATGTTAATTTTGCTCAAACAAAAATCTATAAATAGAAAAAAGACTGAGAAACTGATAATTTCGTAGTGGTATTCAGAGCTGTATTATGTATATGTATGTATGTGTGTATCTATCTATCTATCTATCTATCTGTTACTTGTTTTTGGTTCCTAATCTTGTTCTGAGAGGTGAGACTGGCTAGTAACGAGGATTTAACCCTGATTGATGTACTAAACATAAGAGTGCATTTCCCCTCAGCATATCTGAATAAACACGAGTGAAACAAACTATAGCATGAAAGAAGCCATTAAGTGAATAAAGCATGGCTAGCCAATGGGTAAATTCCTCACTGTTGTAGAACTTCAACTCCCATGATGCTTTTGCCAGGTTGGCATTGTAGGTCTACAACTTTATTGGTTCTGCATTTTGGATTTCCTAACTAAACGTTACAATATATGCAGATTTGCACTCTACCTTTTAATTTCATGAAAATATTTAAGACTTATGCATTATGTACTTAAAGCGGCACTGTCATGCCGAACCTACCTTTTCCTAATCACTAGGGACTACTTTGTCTTTTGTATTTTTCCTATTCTTGACCCGCTCTGACCCACTTTCCATGAGTCAGAGACATTTTCCCACAATACTCACCCATTCCTCCGTGATCTCGCGATGCCTGCTTTCACTATTCCTGAACATCCTGCCATTTAGACAGAATGCCAACGAAACTACCGAATTGCGTCCTAACAGAATGAGAACAGTTTGTTCATTCATGTTAAGATTACATTTGGTACTTTTAGGTCGGTTAGAAATTTCATTCTAATGAATGAAATTCAGATCCATGCTGCGGCTGCATCTTGCATCTGATTCCCATGGTATCAGGGAGCTATCTACCAAGACTGGTCTTTCAGCCAAGTTTACTAATACTATGTAAAAATTACTTCGTATTAGTAATTAATCTGCCCTTACTCGCTATGCTGCGAGTAGGGGCATATCTACTAAACAGCGAGCCCCTACCCATGCCCCTCGAGTGGGGGCTCTTCAACTAAACATAGGGTCCCCCTTGGCTCCCACCCATGAGCGTCGGGGGAGGAGCCTATTGTACATGCTCTGATTTCCTCCCCCCCCCCCATTGAGCTGCAGGTAGGCCTCCCCATTTTCATTTAGGGCCCACACCTACCGCTCATGGGTGGGGGCCGGGGACGACAATAGGTTCCCCCCATTTTCTTTCAGGGCCCCCACCCGCCACTCATGGGACCCTATGTCCCCTGTTTAGTTGCATAGCCCTCGCTCGGGGGGGCACTATGTTCCCCCTGCTAGCTAAAAGATCACCATAGGGTCAAGAACACAAACATGTATTCCTGACCCTAAAGTGTTAAAACCACCATCTAGCCCCCCTGGGCCCCTCATGCCTCCATAAATATAGTAAAAAATCTTACTGTATTCAAGCTTGAAGCTGTAACTCTGCATGCTGTTAGACTCGGAAAAACAAGCAGTGTGCTGACATCATCAGAAGTGGTAGTCTGATCCAATCACAGTGCTTTCCCATAGGATTGGATGAGACTGAAATGAGGCAGATCAGGGAAGGAGCCAGCATGATTCAAACACAGCCCTGGATATTCAGCATCTCCTCATAGATATTAATTTAATGAATCAATCTCTATGAGGAAAGTTCAGTGTCTGCATGCAGAGGGAGGACATACTGAATGTTTGGATGCATTTTAGGTAGCCATGACCCAGGAAGGATCTCTAACAGCTATCTGAGGAGTGGTCAGTGAAGTTATCACTAGGCTGCAATGTAAACACTGCCTTTTCTCTGAAAAGACAGTGTTTACAGCAAAAAGCCTGAAGGTAATGATTCTACTCACCAGAACAAATTCAATAAGCTGTAGTCGTTTGGTGATTATAGTGTCCCTTTAATAGATGCCCCACCCTGGGTCCATTTGTTGGAGGGGGATGCTTTTTTTTATTTTTAATACAACTGTTTAGTAGAGATGCCCCTACTCGCGGCATTGCGAGTAGGGGCATTCAGGAAATTTCAATCTCCCTTATTCTAATATGGGGGTCATATTCACCCCCATAGAGTGAGGGAGAACATGGGGGGGGCTTATGAAGTGGCGAGGAGCACTGCTCCCTGACGGTTTTTAAATCTTTTTTTATATATATTACAAGGGGGAGCTGCGAGCCGGTAGCTCCCTCCTTGTAATAAACTGTTTGTTTGTTCGTCAGAAATACGAAGGACTATATAGCATTTTCAGAATTCAATGAATGAATAGATGAAATTCCCGTCCGAATTTCGGACAATAGCGAATGCCCAAGTGTTTAACTGGACATGCGCAGGAATTTTGCAGCGCTATCTAGTGTGGGCAGATGACGTGTCCTACAGGGACTTCATCTGCCCACACAAAGATGGCAGCGCCCAGGACATAGGACAAAATAGGTGATATGGGACAAAAGGGGCATTTGGGTGTGACTAGGGGGACAATTAGATGTAATGGAGTCGGGAGGGGGGGGGTTAAGAAAAAACTGGGTTCGGCCATGACAGTGCTGTTTTAAATGGAGTTAGTTTTTAACTTTAACCATTTTGGTCATGCAGACAATTAGAAACATTATGCAATACATACTCATGATCTCTATAAAGTACTTACCAATAAAACGCATAATTTTGATATTAATAAAAATGATTTCTTTTTGTTTTCCAATTAGTTTTTCTACAGTTAATGTTGATTGCATCACATCCTGCACGTTATCACTACCTGTCAGCAGTTCCGTACAGTTCATCAAAGTTCCTGCCCAAGCCACTCCTAGAGTCTCAAGGTAAAGCAGTGCTCTAACCTTTGTCACTTTTTAATTGCAGAAACCTTGCACTAGGCATTACACTTTAACATATCACTCGTACAGAATAACATTTCTGACTACAGTCTGGTACAATTCCTAGGTACATACTATAGTACTATAACGAATGCAGTATCTTTGTTATACAGTGAAACAAGGACAGAATATATAATATATATATAATCTAATAATATAAACGGTTTGCCAAAACCTACATGTACCAAGGGTAAAATATATACTAAAACCTTTATAAAAACACCACAATAATTATTCTAAACACCCAAACAATATTTACAGATTATATATATATATATATATATATATATATATATATATATATATATATATATATATATATATATATATATATATATACACACACACACAATGGCTGTATAAGACAACTGTAATGTATTAAATAGGTAACCCTATTTATGTCAATCTTTCTTTTATTATGGCATTTGCTCTATAGGGTACAGAATAAAGAGAGTAGGCATTGTGGGGTAATACAAGTCAAAGATATCAAGATGGTGTGTAATGCACACCCAAGAAAGACGGCCATATATTTTTTTTTTTTAAACTTCAAACAAACACAATATCACAAGCAGATGTTTAAGAGATGAGTGCAAGAGATACTTAAAGGTCGCTCCAATGGTAGTTTCCATGTGCACTGTATATCAGATTTAAAAATTATTAACATGCAACTTTAGGCATGAGATTGTAACAAAACATACTAAGCATACGATTAGGCTTGAGGTGAGTATCCGCACGTATAGTACCTGCTAGGCAGAGTAAAGTGAACGGCTGCTAGCTTTTTATGAGACGTTCTAACAATATGAAACATATGGTCATATGCAGGTTCAGTTGGCACTGGCTAGTATCTGGAGAAAACTAATGTATGATAGCGTGAGACATAAAACAAAATAACACTTAACATTATGTTAAATCAGGCTATAATAGACCAATAGTCAGGCTGTGAAATTTTGACTAGTAAGTCATACATGCTGCCGCTTTCCCTGGTCCCCCCTTCCCCCGCTGAGTTGTCCCATGTGTCTGCATTACCGGCTGGCTTGTTATTGGGAACAAGTGTGTCCATCGTGCTGCTGCCCGCCCCGCCAGTTGGATAGTTTTTCGAGTACCGTGCTGGGCTATGCCGTGAAGTTGCAATATAGCTTTCAAAGGTGGGTCCAAGTTGGCAAGCTTCTTGGCTGGTAAGGTGGCAGCTCATTGTCTACAAATGATCTCAGACGAGGGGTTTTGCTTTCTATTTGGTAGCGGGATGTTACATCTTCACCTTCTCATCTACCCGCCTGTGGGACGTGGGGAGCGCAGGTTCCAGGTCGTGTATTAGCCGATTCCTCTGCTGGGCTTCTGTGTGGTTGGTACTTGGGGGTTGCGGCTTGTCGGCAGGAGTCGCAGTTGACGGGTGGTCCCTCCCCAGCTTCAGGCTCCATGCAGGGTCAGCATCCGTAGGCCACTGACTCGGGGTCTCTGTGAGGCCGGGTCATTCCCTTTTTGGGCGCCGCGGTAAGGCCTGATGATCTTCCGCCGCCAGCGGCCTTCCGGCGTCGTGGTCAATGCCTTGGAGGGGGTTTCCTCACGACCCTAGGCCTGGAAGGGCTCTTAGTGTGCTTAGCACTGGTTTGACGCGCCGTTTTGCCCGGGATGGGCCTATGTCGCGTTCCTCCACCTCTCCGTGTATCGATAGGGGGTGTTGGGCAGCTCTGCGCTCTATTTGTTCCCAGAAGCGGTAGAGTAGAGCATCTAGCCGCTGGTGCAGGGTCTGCACGGGCCTTTGAGTGGGAGCATGGGTAGCCACGGCCATCTTGTGCGTGGGATTCGGGTTGCAGGGGGACGAGTAGGTCTGCGGCAGATTGCAAGCTGGCCGGGGTGGAACATGGGCGTTGGATGAGTTTGGAGGCAGCGGGTGAGCGGCCATCTCCCCCGCACCATCCGCGTGTGTAGGCCGCAAGTTGGATCTGAGCAGGAACGGGTAGAATATCCCCATGTTTGGTGTCTAATGGTAGGTTTCAAGTTTCTCCGTCGTTTGGCAGCCTGTGTGTGTCCAGATGCTGCGTGTAACCGTGGAAATTTTGCCTAGTAAGTCGCTTGCCGCAGGAGCTCTTGCTACCCACGTCCACTCGGCTCGGCAGACAGGCCCCGCCCCCGTTAGATGACAAAATTAACACTGCATCGAACGTCAGTGTATTCTACAAGTAGGGTTGTCTGGAGGTATTTAACGAGCACCATCATTTTTACATATTGAGGGAGAATTCTAAATGTGTTCTGTTCTAATAGTGATGTAAAGTATTAAAAGTAGGGCATTTCTCCTTTTGGAGAAATCTCCATTGGTGACCCTTTTTTATAGAAATCTCTAATGTTATATCTATAAATAACTTTTACATAAAATTATTCAGAGATTCTCTACCCTCACTATTAGTTTATAAGTATTTAATTTACTGATCAATTATATTCCACCCTTGTGGTACTGTGATTTTTAACTGCTAAGTCCAGTATTTATTTATTTCGTTTTTTTTTATTTTTTATTTTTTTATATTATTCTTTATTTTGGTTGTGTACTAATACAACAGGGGTATTGACATAATAACAGGTTATCAGTCACAGTGAAGTAGAATGGCCTACATAATACCCGTATAATATGAGAAAATATGCTAATTTGAATACCCTCGTAATAACCGACACATGGTAGGTTGCACATTTTTTAAATGATAAGATGAAATAAATGTAAATAAAAATATCCAGTATTTGAAACATATTTGAAAGTTCCTGCAATAATAGCGAGCAAAACAAATCAAGAGTATCTCATATTGTAAAAACAATAGTAAGCAAAACCATCTAGAAAAAAATGCTCAGATCCACACCACATCTAATAGCGTGGTTTAAAAAAGCCCTTTGTGACCACAGAAAGCAAATTAATAGTGTGGTTTAATCTATAACCTATAACCACAGGTATGTGGTGGAAATCCCCAGAATCTGCATTGTAAAAAACAAAAACAAAAGTGAGTGAAGATGTATTATACTAAAAAGTCTGGCAGAGTAAAATAGCCAGAAATGTAGGACATTAGAAGGTGGATATGACACTTACTCAAAACACAGAGTATAAGAAAATACTAAATCAAGTCTTCGTAAGATCATTTCGGATTATTTAAGCTAGATTGAGACTAGGTGTTCAGTGTAGCAGCCAACATGGTCAGTAGGCCTCCTTGCAAGCACATATTACTCCCATTGAAGTATATTTTCACCTGCCATGTATGTCTTGTTAAATAGGGCTGAGGCACAAGCTAAGGGGCTTGATGATAATACTCTATGAACTTTTAAACAGTAACTTTATTTTCAGAAGTGCAGTCCTTATAAAACTGGTTGGGCTTCAAACTGCAGCAAATCAAGTTCCTGCAGTTTTTAATATGTCCTTAAGGACACATGATGGAACATTTAAACTGAAAGGTCCAGTTATTGTCATTTACAAACTATTCTGAAACGGAAACATGTAACTATGTAAAAAAAAGATTTGTATTCTCTATTTACAAGACTGTAAATTCAGAATTGCATAATCATACTGAATTCTTTTCTGTCTTGGGGACTAGCAAGTGTAAATTCTATTAAGCACGGTTGGTGGCTCTGCCACATGAAGAAATATGTCTTGCATGTAAACATGGTATTACTTTTGCCTTTTTAAGCTGTTTATTATTACTACAACAATGTACTTCCTAAGCCCAGTGAAAAGCCCTCTAACCCTAACCTAACCCTAGATGCAGCAGACTGGAACTATTATGACTTTGAACCTGGCTTTGCATGGCTGGGAATGATATGTGTTACAGTCCTGACATCTCAACATCTCGAGTGTTGTGTACGCACTGTGGACTTGCCCCATAATGTTGCCACATGGTTATGTTACAGTGTACATATATATTTTAGATGTGTGTGCTCTCCTTAATGCCACATGCATTTTCCACTACCATCTATAGAGTTAACAGGTGTGTATTTGCTTCTATAACATCCTTTCACATTATGTCTTATTTGAATATATTCTAGTTTTCAGATAAATTACACAGAATATGACTGTGAAAAGAATGACGTCTGCTGGCAGCAGCTTGCATATCCGCTTACACAGTATTATACAGGTACAAATCAAGCACCGCTACAAAGTCTATGCTGGTATATGTTGCAATAACACAACTTTTTTGTCTTACACACTACTTATTGATCTTGTCATTCCAGTCCGTGTCTATACATAGATACATATATATTGTTGCACAATATATGTCTAGAGAATATTTTCTCAAAGAGGCCCTGTAACATCTAACACTTTTTACACAGCCCCGTTGAAAACAAATGGTGGCTATGGATTGTTGTGTTATTTTTGCAAACTCTGCTTCTCTACATTATGAATTTAACTATATGCAGAGTCATCAAAGTCATCAAGAATGTGCATTATGCTGTCATGTGATAGACCAGAATCTCTACAAAATGTTGCCAGGACCTTCTTGAATTCAGACTGTTTGGGGGGATACATTATATTGTCATTGTTTTTATAAAGCAGTGTAATGTGTATTTTTCTTGAAACAGTTAACTTCATATTGTATTTAGCATATAAAAGTGAGGACCACCTGTTTTGGTGAGATTTCTAATGATAGTTTATTTTAATTATCCCAGGAGAACCTCATCACTTGACTCTTGCAAAAGGAATGATCTTGGTTTTCTTCTTCATCGTTGCTTCTGTTCTTGGTGGACCATGGAACAGAATTCGTAAAGCCTGGACTATCAAAGCATTCTAGTTACAAGTGACTCTTTTCACTAGGTGTAAGTGAATAACGATCCTGTGTCAAGACAGCAGTTATCTCTGTAAACTCAGTCACAGATTTGTTGAAAGCTGTCAATGTTTATGCTGTAAAGTGGACTCTAATTGTTATGGACAGCTTAAGCGTTTGGTTATCATGAACAAGAGAGAGATGGTTTCCTGTTACAAATTGGAAGGAATATTTCAAATCATGAAACACATTACCCTACCAAATATATTTGATCTTAAACACTAGGTCTTTGAGATTGTAGTGTTTAGAGAATTTGAATAATTATTCTTGACATGTTGGCTTTAAGCTGTGCATCTTAATGAGTACATTTTGAAAGTGTACAGTGATATTTGAATTTGCTTTACAAGATTGATTTAGTTTTGGACAAATACTTTTTTCACATTGTGCTGTCTGTTATCCAGCAAATTTACAATTTACAATTATTCGGTAAGTAAATCAATGCCCACATGTATATGGTTTTGGGAAATCATAGGGGCAGATTAAAGGCATTCTCTAATTTTGACTATTTGACTTGCTTGGACCATGTACCCTTTGGGGCTGATTACTTGGTTACTTAATTTAATTTATGTTTGCTAAAGCAGACATCCCAAGCTATTTCAGATTTAATTTAAAGGGACGCTATTTCAGATTTAATTTAAAGGGACACTTTCCTGGCACTGCAGGTCCCCTCTCCCTCCCACCTCCCATCCCCAGTTGCTGAAGGGGTCAAAACCCCTTCAGTGACTTACCAGAGGCAGCGACTATGTCCCTCGCCGCTGCTTGTTGGTCCGCCCACGCTCCTCCCCGTCCCCACGTCATCCAGCGGGGGAAACAGATCCCATCTACAGGCGGGGGAGACCTAATGTGCATGCGCGGCAATGCCGCCCACGCGCATTAGACTTCTCTATAGGAAAGCATTAAAAATGCTTTCCTATGGGGATTTTAGTGACGCTGGACCTGTGCTATGAATCAGTGCCCTCTAGTGGCTGTCTAGTAGACAGCCACTAGAGGCGGAGTTAACCCTGTAAAAGGTTTTCCTTAGTGATTTGCAGGTTTGTATTTATAATTGAACATTTTTTATCAAATGTTTCAGTGATTTGTTAAACTCATATTTTTATATTTGTTTAAAATTTTGTAAATGCTAATTTAAAAGATACTTTGTTTTCATAAAAATAATAATAAAATAATTTTTAAAAAAAACTTTATTGTTTGAATTGCTGCACTGGCTCAATCATTGATTTGGAATATGAATTCACAGGAGTTGGGTTTGCACACATTTTAATTTAGAAATTCACATGCATATTGCTGTACAATAAATAGAAGACTACAGTACAAGGAAAGATGTGGATCCAAGGATATCTATCATTTAATCATACACATGTAGAATGGCATTTGTTTCTTTTTTTGTTAATCATACACAGGTAGAATGGCATTTGTTTCTTTTTTTGTTTATTCTCTGATATTCACCATTTAGGGGTTACCCCCCTTTTTTTTGTGCCCTCTACCTTGTGATATCTAAATTTTGGCCCTAGGTTAATTCTTTTTGTTTTCCTCGTATAACAAGGATATCTATCATGTTCAGTACTGGTAACCGTTAATTGCATGAGCATTGACTGATCACCAATGGAGGAAGAGCCCCCATTAGAACTTGTTTTTGTGATTTGATAGGCACAGTTATATACTAGAACTTTAAATTCACAATGTAAAAAAATAAATTTCTTCATAATATGTTTATTAAAGGACCACTATAGTGCCAGGAAAACATACTTGTTTTCCTGGCACTATAGTGCCGTGAGGGTGCCCCCACCCTCAGGGTCCCCCTCCCACCGCGCTCTGGAGAGAGGAAAGGGGTTAAACTTACCTTTTTTCCAGCACCGGAAGGGTGCTCTCCTCCTCCTCTCCGCCCCTGATCCTCCTCTTCGGCTGCGCACGCATTCAGCCGGTCTCATAGGAAAGCATTCATAATGCTTTCCTATGGACGCTTGCATCTTCTCACTGTGATTTTCACAGTGAGAAGCACGCAAACGCCTCTAGCGGCTGTCAATGAGACAGCCACTAGAGGCTTTGGAGGCTGGATTAACCCTATTATAAACATTTCTCTGAAACTGCTATGTTTATAAAAAAAAAAAGGTTAATCCTAGAGGGACCTGGCACCGAGACCACTTCATTAAGCTGAAGTGGTCTGGGTGCCTAGAGTGGTCCTTTAAAGTTTTATCGAAACTTTAAAACTGAAAAATGCGCCATAACATATTGAAGTAGAACTCAATTGCAGAATCAACATGTTTCACAGTTAGGCAGTAGAATCACTGTATGGAACTATAGAAAAAAAAATCCCCATGAAACAGGTGAAGAGAATGTATTCTTGAGTAACCTGTAGCAAAAAGAAATTGGCAAGTATAAAAAGGGGTAAAAGGGAAGACGACCACTTGAGGTGCATTTAATCCATGTCAACATTACTGTTTCAACAAAATGACAATATTTTACATGGAAAGGCTAAAATGACAAGACCACTGCATTCTTATCACTTTATTAAGATGAAGTGGTCTGGGTGACTTTAGTCCTTTAAGCACAGCTCATTATATGCCACTGACATACAGTACACAATGTTCTACTGTATCGATTTGTGGTCAGTGTTAAAATTTTATTTCACCAGTGGAGCCTGCAACAGTTTGGTAAGAATGAAAAATGTGCAGATGCAAGGTTCTAACAGGAGAAAAAAAATATGCCATGATTCACCAATATATCAGCAAGTCTACTTTGGCGCTGGTCTTCAAATTTTGTTCACATTCACTGCCACTCACTGTTTAGTAAAGAGTCCACAGTGTTTAATCGAGCCTCACTGACCACATTCTTTAGATTGTAAGCTCACCGGCAGTACCATCTACCTTTTTGTATCGGTTTATTTATATTGTTTCTTTTCCCAATTGTACAGCACTGCAGAATATGCTGGCAGTACCATCTACCTTTTTGTATCGGTTTATTTATATTGTTTCTTTTCCCAATTGTACAGCACTGCAGAATATGCTGGCAGTACCATCTACCTTTTTGTATCGGTTTATTTATATTGTTTCTTTTACCAATTGTACAGCACTGCAGAATATGTTGGTGCTTTAAAAATGCCAGTAATAATAATAATAATATTAATTCCGCTTTTAGAAATTGACATGAAGTACACTCCCCATTCTACCATTTCTCACAATATAGTACACATACCTTTTACTAACACTTATTTTGCAAGGTGGGTAGTAACATCTGTTGGCCTAGAGTGGACACAAGCCTAGGTACAACTGAAAATCATATTGTTGGTCATACATTTTTGCCTATTAACCATTCTATTACAAGACAGCAAGCTTATCCAATATATCAGTTGGATTACACTGGATTGCATTTCCGCATTACATAACTATATTGATATTTGCCACAGTGTCCTGACATGTGGGTATATTTATGTGTATACCATAGAATAAATGGGAGACTGGACTGGGAGAAGGTTTTGTCTGTGAAGGGGAGGAGGGGGAGTGAGTGGAGAGAGATGGTTGGGATGTAGGGGGTGTTTATGGATATTGGTTTAGGCTGAACTTTATGAACGCATGACTCTTTTCTGCTATGTAATTATGTATCTGATGTGGGGTCAGGATAGAGAGGTGTGAGTGTGTAGAGGGGGGAATAAGGACTGTAATTTGTAAGGGTAGAAATACTAGGACAGGGGTCAGCAACCTATGGCACTCAAGGTGCATTTGCACGGCATTCAAGGCTGCTAGAGCCTAACCATCTCTGGTCTATCAGGAGTCCCTCTGGAACTTCAGATATCTGCTGTTTAAAATGGTGGTAAGGGTCAATCCTCAATTTACGTATTGCAGCACTCTCAGATTACTTCCCCCAAGCACTTGAACAGGAATCATCACTGGAGTAGAGAAGCCCGCAGCAGCTATCACAGCTCTTGACTTGTACCTGGCCAGCTCGGTCCCCACTGGACCCCTGGGAAGCCAGCCACACTTCTAGATAAACACAGAGCAGGAGAATAAGCCTCTCTCACATACAAATAAGATAAACAGCCCACACACAAACACAACCCCACTGACAATCCTCATACATTACACACAGCCCCACAAGCAGCCTTTCACATGGAATCCCACAAGCAACCCCATACATACACACCACTAAACACAATTCCACAAGCAGTCACATGAACATATACAATATAACAGCCCACACATGCACAAATACAACACTACAAAGCAACTGTAGCACCCATAAATAACACAAGCAGAATACGACAACATACACACCTCAATTTAACAAAACAGGACTGGCACGTCAGTGGACTTCATGATCTTGTTTTGGCACAGTAATACTGAAAGGTTGCCTACCACTATACCAGGAGATGAGTTAGGATACAAACATATATATTTCCGAAAAATACCAGCACTCTGGGTTTTCCAAATCTTCTTTCCTCCCTTTTTACTTACTTGGGGAGTTAAAGGAACACTATAGTCACCTAAATTACTTTAGCTAAATAAAGCAGTTTTAGTGTATAGATCATTTCACTGCTCAATTCACTGTCATTTAGGAGTTAAATCACTTTGTTTCTGTTTATGCAGCCCTAGCCACACCTCCCCTGGCTATGATTGACAGAGACTGCATGAAAAAAAAAATGGTTTCACTTTCAAACAGATGTAATTTACCTTAAACAATTGTATCTCAATCTCTAAATTGAACTTTAATCACACACATGAGGCTCTTGTAGGGTCTAGCAAGCTATTAACATAGCGGGGATAAGAAAATCTTAAACAGAACTTGCAATAAAGAAAGCCTAAATAGGGTTCTCTTTACAGGAAGTGTTTATGGAAGGCTGTGCAAGTCACATGCAGGGAGGTGTGACTAGGGTTCATAAACAAAGGGATTTAACTCCTAAATGGCAGCGGATTGAGCAGTGAGGCTGCAGGGGCATGTTCTATACACCAAAACTGCTTTGTTAAGCTAAAGTTGTTCAGGTGACTACAGTGTCCCTTTTTATCCTGGGTGGTCTGGTGAGCTCAGTATCTGGTCTGCACCTCCAAGGGGTGCATTACTCTCTCTGCTAGGTGCTTGGTAATGAAGCAGAGTGTTGCTGTGGTAGTCATGGCAATACTCTGACCCACTCCATGGAGCTAGGCACTGGATCTGCACACTGCAGGGGCAGATTGCAAACTCCCTGGTATAGCCCCCTCCCCCCATTATTAGTATAAGGCAAGTCTCCATCTCCAGTTAGGGGAGTTAGGTGGCCACTAACTCGCCTAATTAGAGAGCCACCTCTGTATGGTGCACTTCAATTTTAATACTAGGCTTTTGGTCCAGAAGTCGGATCATTGCCTTTGTCCTTAAGGGGTTAAGATGCAGAATTACAGAATTATAACAAAAAGTTATACACTGAAAACCATGTGTTTAACGTTTCTTATATTATTTTAGTATACAGTCACAGCTGATTTTTTAGAAACATGTCAAAATAAAACAAACTATAATCTAAGTAACCGAGACATAGCTCCATAAGAGGTTCTATAGTGAGATTAATACACACACAGACACACACAGTCAGTCAGGGCTGCCTCCTGATTGGCTAGTCTGCCCCCACTAGCCCAGCACGGGCGGAAGTGCCGATCCCGGAAGTGTCCTGTGTGTTGGACTCCCAACCGGAGAGGAAGCGACGTGGATAGAAGTGACAGACTGCGATGGCTCTGTCCCCATAACTCGCCATCTCGGTGGCTAATAGGAGTTAGTGAGCCCTCGGCCCCTCTGAGACAGCCCAGGAGTTAGTGAGCGGCCAGCTGGCAGTAATGGGGTCCTTGTTCCGGAGTGAGGCCATGTGTCTGGCCCAGCTCTTCCTACAATCTGGATCGGCTTATGACTGTGTCAGCGAGCTCGGGGAGATAGGACTGGCCGAATTCAGGGATGTAAGTATTGGTCTGTCTGTCCGGGAGCAGGGACAGCAATCCATCCCCAGGGACAGACAGCCACCCAAACATCCATCCCCAGGGACAGACAGCCACCCAAACATCCATCCCCAGGGACAGACAGCCACCCAAACATCCATCCCCAGGGACAGACAGCCACCCAAACATCCATCCCCAGGGACAGACAGCCACCCAAACATCCATCCCCAGGGACAGACAGCCACCCAAACATCCATCCCCAGGGACAGACAGACATCCATCCCCAGGGACAGACAGCCACCCAAACATCCATCCCCAGGGACAGACAGCCACCCAAACATCCATCCCCAGGGACAGACAGCCACCCAAACATCCATCCCCAGGGACAGACAGCCACCCAAACATCCATCCCCAGGGACAGACAGCCACCCAAACATCCATCCCCAGGGACAGACAGCCACCCAAACATCCATCCCCAGGGACAGACAGCCACCCAAACATCCATCCCCAGGGACAGACAGACATCCATCCCCAGGGACAGACAGCCACCCAAACATCCATCCCAATGGACAGCCATCCATACATCCCCAGGGAGAGCTACCCACACATCACCATGGGCAGCCAATCACCCATACATCCATCCCCAGTGACACCCACCCACTCATACATCCATCACCAGGGACAGCCAGCCATCCATACAAACCCCAGGGAGAGCTACCCACACATCACCATGGGCAGCCAATCACCCATACATCCATCCCCAGTGACACCCACCCACTCATACATCCATCACCAGGGACAGCCAGCCATCCATACAAACCCCAGGGAGAGCTACCCACACATCACCATGGGCAGCCAGTCATCCATATATCCATCCCCAGGGACAGCCATCCACCCATCACCAGGGGCAGTAATTTATCCATCCCGAGGGATAGCCACCCAGTCATCATCATCAGGGGCAGCAAGCCACCCACCCGACCCCAGGGGCAGCCACCTTCCACAACCTGTACCTGACAGCTCACACTTACCTTGTTAGACAAGCTTGGCAGCTCTTGTGGCAGAGATGATGTCTGTTTTATACACTTGTAAGCAATAGTGTACTTATGCTAAATGTGTTGACGATTACATCATGAATAAAGTGCTTATTTATAGATTACATCTATACTGCTGCCTTGCTACAGACGTCTACTGATGCATTATATCATTGGACAGTCTGCCAGATCTATCTTGTTTTCAAGGATTTCTATTGCATTTTCATCTTGATGGACAACATATGAAAACTTCTGCTCAGAATTATGGTTACATTATGTGCTGCATAAGGGACATCAGCTAATACATCTTGCTCATCATTTTCATGATGTAAGGCAGCGCCAATCATTTGCAGCCCATCAATGCATGATGTGTGTCCAGAATACTGGATGGGTCTATCAAAAGCTGGATCTGACTACAAACAGTATAAAAAAGGTTTATGTTCACAGGCACATATGTAATTCTGTAATTGTAAGTAGCAACAATGTATTTAATTATGTCCCCCCCCCATCCAAAACCAGTTTGTGAAATGAGTGGCCTTTGGAGAAGAGGACCTTTTTTCCACAGCCCATAATTTCTATGGTTGTCCAATCACAGACTTCCCAATGCAGCTCAATGAGAAGTCTTTGCTATGTGCTCTGGGTAATTGCTGCCTCTTAAGTTTAGATCCACTGAGCTAAACAAACAGGAAGCAACAGGAACCGTTGTCAGAGGGTGCGATAAGATTTATAAAAAAATGTATAAAAGTACAAATTTCTATTAAAATTGGCTCTTTTTGTAAAATAGAAAAGAGGACAATCTTAACACATAAACCAATTCAGCTTGTTAAAGTACTTTAGATGTGTGGAGTGTCCCTTTAGACTGTAACTGCTGTTTATTTATTTTATTTTTTTAATGCATTTTTGTCATGTTGCTGTGTGTTACACTATTGATTGTGTCAGTTGGGTGATACACATATGTGTTTTAAATTCCCCTTAAACTATATGCAATTCTTTAATTATTGGATAGTTAAAATTGTTTAGCAAATGTTTAATTTTGTTATTTTGTTAACAGCTCAATCCCCATGTAAGTGCATTTCAGAGAAAATATGTTGGTGAAATGAAGAAATGTGAAGAGTTGGAGAGAATATTGGGTATGTGGATGGTGAGACAATGTGCTTGTTTGTGGTGTGTTTTGAAGAAAGTCTTTAAAAAAAAAAAAAAAACAGCTGTCGTGTTTCTTTTTTTTTTTTTATGTTGCATTGTGTACTAGTTTGAGTTAAATCGTTGGCATATAAAAGCCACTAAAACATAATTTTTGTAAAAAATATTTAAGGAACAATTTAGTTATAGGGAATACAAAGATGTATTTCTAACACTGAAATGTGCCCCACCCCTGTGCTAATGTAAAGAGTTAAGACACCTGATTCCAGCACCGATATCCCTCAGCATTTGGTCGGCTCCTTTTCTGCCTTCATCAGCCGATGGGGGTGACCTAATGCACAAGAAACGCATTCCTATGGGGATTTGCTTGACGCTGGATGTCTTCATACAAAGCCACTAAAGGCAGTCTTGGCTCGGCAAAGTAAACATTTCAATTTCTCAGGGGCAAGGGGGACAGGGATACTGCACCCAGATCAGATGAAGTGGTCTGAGTGCCTATAGTTAGGGCTACCATGTCCACCATTTTTTCAGGGATACATATAATTATGGGAAAATGCATTGAAAGGGTTGCCCTACCTTATATATAATGCATGTCCGGCAGAATATTTAATTACCTTCTTCCATATTCTACATAATACAAGGCAACCGTTTTCCTGTACTGCCTATTAATTTGTGTATAAAAATGTGTCCCTGAAGACATGGTGGATATAGTAATCCTACCGAAAGTGCCCATTTAAATTAAATCTTTTCAGACTTCCATGCTTTCTAAACAGGGTTATTTACTAAAGTGAATTTCAAATTCAAGGTCATATCAGACTTAGCTGAGAATTTTTTCAGTTTGGCTATTTTGAATTTGAAATTCTCTTTGAATTCTCACCTTGGTAAATAACTCTGAAAGTCTTTTTTTTTTTTATGATTCCCCTATTTCAAAATGTTAGAACAAGAAAATGAGGCTACATTGACTTTAGTATACTGGAGTTTGTGGAGGGGGATTACATAGATGTCTGTGGCCAAACACCAAATAATTTTAATTGTAAATAGTTTTGCAAATTCCACATGAATTTACATGTTATGCCATAGAATAAGTGAGCACCAACTAATGCATTAGATGTTCAGATTAAAATATAATATTTGTTAGGGTTTGTTTTCATTTGTGTGTCTTGATGTCCCCTCAGTCCGTCCTCCCTTCATCTCTGGATGTGGGAGTGACGTCAGCCAAGGAGGACCGGGCTGAGGGGAGAACTTGAACTTGGCGATGGAACTGAGGTAAGTTTTAGCACTCCATTCATTTTTTTAAGTTTACTTTTTAAAAGTTTTTAGAGTGTGAGGGTGGACCACCTCTGAAAGAGTTTCTCCAAACATAGGCAATTTTCGGCACTCCAGGTGTTTTGGACTACACCTCCCATGATGCTTTGCTAGCATTATGGGTGTAAGAGCATTATGAGGGATGTAGTCCACAACATCTGGGGTGCCGAAGGTTGCCTACCCCTATATAGTCTTACACACTCCAATATTTACTTACCAATATATTATATTTTTTTATTTTGTGTTATAATGCAAGCTGACATTTTCTAGCATTTTAGATAACACTTTATTGCCAACCCCAAGGTACTCTTTGAATACAATATATTTTGGGTTCAATAACAAAATTCTTTTTCCGAACATTGAATTGATGAAAATCACAAGACTTCTCATATTCTCTGAATTAAACCCCTGACTTGCATTATACAATCAGTTAAATTTCATGTGGCAAACTCAAGGAAGCATTGATGAAATCCCTATTCACAGTACAAGCAATTCATACAGTGTTCCTTTTAATTAAGCTTTTGCACGCAAGATGTACGTTGAGCTTATTAAAACAGATGCTATGTAGATGGACAAAACAGACGTTTAGGCTACAAGAGTATCTTCCTTAAAATAATTGATTCCTTATTTTAAATCCTTAAGATTTATTACTGCTTTCTAAATGAATCCTTCCTTACATACATTTTAATCATCTCTAAATTCTTTAATGTTTTGCCTTACACAGTCTTGTTCTGCTTATTCACTATATAAACCTATAAATTGTTTATTTTTATATAATAAATACTAATATTTATTATTGACTTATTTTAAACGTAAACATTATACATTATTGAACAAAAATAAATGTTTGTATATGAACATTTACACCTGTTAAATATTTTATAAGAAATGTAATTTATTTTTTTTTGTCCCCCAAGATACAAAATGGGAAATATTGAACTTGGGGAAGACTGGACTCTCTCTTAGAAATAAATGCCATGATTGCACTTCTTAATTTGTTCATCTTTAACAGGATAGCCATGGTACTGCGTATAGTTTCAAAAGTGTGAGTTTGTATGTATGATTTGCATAACAAAGTACTTGATAAATTGAAGAACGGTAACGGTTCAAATATATTTGGCATTGTTTTAACAGTATTGAAAGTTGAGTTCTTATTCATACTGTAGTAATCAAATAGAATAACTGTGCCTTTGTTAATTGCCCTAATTTTATAATTGCAGATTATCTGGTAAAAGAAATGCGGAAATCAGACATTCATGTTTCTGATGGAGTATCTTTGCCTGCAGCTCCTCTACCTAAACATGTGTTAGAAATACAGGTGATGTCTTCTTTGCATCTTTTATTCCTTGTGTGTAAAATGGATATCTCTAAACTTGTATACTTGAAAGTCAAATGACTCTCCCAGTCTGACCAAAGGTGACCATTCTATCCCTTTGCAGACTTTGCTGTCATACATACCTGTGCCAACAAACTCCTTCCTCTTTGAGCAGATCATGTTTTCGGTGCCTGTGTCAGACACTGTTATTGTGGCTGATTTCTATGTAATACTTTCCTAGATGTTTGTCCGCTAAGATATTAAGCTCCTGTGAGATCTCTACTTTGGCATTGTGTCATATTGGCTATGAAATGATACATTTTTATGGTTATTTGAAGCTGTAGATTTTGCTTCACTTAATTCACAGCTCCTTGTCCCAATAACAGTGACTGAACAATATATTAATAATAAAATGTATATCAGATTTGATTCTGTAAATTTCAAACCGTTCTCATTGTTTGAAACTATCTGATGCTAACTGACTTAAGTGTCTGTCTTTGCGTTTTTTTTTTTTTCTTCTTTTTTCAAATGAGTAGCACCACCAGTAGCCAACCTTTTAGTTAGGTATTTGGTTTTGCAAAAATCTTTAAAGTAACAGTGCCTTTTTAAGTAAGAACTCAAAACAAACTTTGCTTGTAATGGAGTCCTATAAAGCCAGACTGATATTTTCACACAGCGTATAAGATTTGGTCACACTCTTTTGGAATGCCTCTATAAAAATACAAAGATGTCCTTCATCATGTCCTCAAAGTGTCACGTGGAATAAAACGTGTAGCAGCAAACAAATGGAGTCTATATTTAAGCCCTTGCGTTACTTGATTGTCCTAACTTTTTATTGGTTGCTGTTTTAAAGTAAATATGTTATGCGAGGTGTGTAATAAAAAAATAGCCATCAAATCGCACATTAAACATTTCATGGGGCACAGACAGATGGTGTTCGTAAAATATTGAGTGTTATTTGACTTTGGATATTGAAGGAGTTGCATTAGAGGATGCAGGGAACACTAGGTTGTAGAGAGATTTGTAAGCAAACCAAAGAATTAGAAAATTAAAACCATGGCAAATTAAAAATGAGTACATGTACTAGTTACATGACTGCTGAAGGTCAGCAACTGTAGCTGCAGTTTGGCACTCACAGCTGTGGGCCAGCCGATCCTACCATTGATGCTACTGATTGGACTTGGCTTGCCTTCGGTGCACTTATCTAGCCTGGTCATCTTAAAGGTACAATCCTGGCAACCAACCACTACTTGGACATGTATGATATTAATTCATATGATGTTGGAAATGTAAAGTTGGGCTTTGGTTGTATTATTATTATTTATATAGTGCCAGCAAATTCTGTAGCGCTGTACAATGGGTGGACTAACAGACACGTAATTGTAATCAGAAAATGGACCCACAGGAACAGAGGGGTTGAGGGCTCTGCTGGTTCGAAAATAATGTAAAAATTAAAGTATTCCCAAATTCTTGACCCATGCACCAATCTCCACTCTTAGCATTATATCCCTGCAAATTTCCAGTCAAACCTGGGCAGACAAATGCACAACACATAAATCACATATAATATGTAATGGGGAACTACAGCAACTGTACTCTTTAGACTACAGATTTTTATTTCTATACCTCCTCCTTAAGAGCCTAGTACACCAATAAGTGTATCTGGAACCTGAGGTGGTAACAGGCTTTTTACAAACATACCTGAAGGTTCTGAAGTTCTGTTAATCCGCCCAATTAAACCTAATCTTTTGTCACTGTGTTACCACCTGAATCGGTACCATTGTTTCGCATCCTATCCACATCTGACAAAATGGACAAAAAATAAACTGGCATTAATATAGATACATCAGAATGGATGCATACAGTGAATGCCCTGAAAGGTATTACAGCATGTTATAATCGCATTGAGGTCGCTCAGCAATAGCTACACTTATTCATATCCAGTTAGAGTGCCTATGGTTGCTGTCCTTTTGGTCGCAAGTTTTCAACCTCATACGTTGGTTGTGTACCTGCTAAATCCTCAAAACACAACAAGCAGCATTTTGACTCTTGTTCCCAGGGGTTGTTCCTGTGAATATCAGAGTTTTGGCTTCACATATCCTCCTTGCTGCTAGACCTCTTATTGCTCTCCATTGTAAAAGTGCTGGATCTGTTCAGCAGAATTCACCTTAACTATAGGTATGTGGGCACCATGGGTACACTTTTGGAAGATGGAATGTGGGCCAAATGCACTGTTACCTTTTGACCTCACTGGATCCTAGCAAAGTATTTGTCTAGGAAAAAAATAAAATAATTTTGGGCAGGTAAAACCATGGGATATAAACATAGAAAGTGACGGCAGATAAGAACCATTCGGCCCATCTAGCCTGCCCAATTTTCTAAATACTTTCATTAGACCCGGGCCTTATCTTATAGTTAGGATAGCCTTGTGCCTATCCCACGCATGCTTAAACTTCTTTAATGTGTTAACCTTTACCACTTCAGCTGGAAGGCTATTCCATGCATCCAATACCCTCTCAGTAAAGTAATACTTCCTGATATTATTTTTAAACCTTTGCCCCTCTAATTTAAGACTGTCCTCTTGTTGTGGTAGTTTTTCTTCTTTTCAATATGGTCTCCTCCTTTACTGTGTTGATTCCCTTTATGTATTTAAATGTTTCTATCATATCCCCCCGTCTCGCCTTTCCTCCAAACCATACATGTTAAGATCCTTTAACCTTTCCTGGTAAGTTTTATACTGCAATCCATGAACTAGTTTAGTAGCCCTTCTCTGAACGCTCTCTAAAGTATCAATATCCTTCTGGAGATACGGTCTCCAGTACTGCGTACAATACTCCAAGTGAGGTCTCACCAGTGTTCTGTGCAGTGGCATGAGCACTTCCCTCTTTCTACTGCTAATACCTCTCCCTATACAACCAAGCATTCTGCTAGCATTTCCTGCTGCTCTATTACATTGTCTGCCTACCTTTAAGTCATCAGAAATAATCCCCCCTAAATCCCTTTCCTCATATGTTGAGGTTAGGACTCTATCAAATATTCTGTACTCTGCCCTTGGGTTTTTACGCCCAAGATGCATTTATCCACATTAAATGTCAGTTGCCACAACTCTGACCATTTTTCTAGTTTACCTAATTCATTTGCTATTTGGCTTATCCCTCCTGGAACATCAACCCTGTTACAGATCTTAGTATCATCAGCAAAAAGACATACCTTACCATCAGGTACCCCACTGGTGACAAGCCCAAGCTTCGAATATACTCCATTGACAACAACCCTCTGTTGCCTGTCACTCAGCCACAGGGATATAGTACAATCTTGTTATGGTCTCCCATGATTGGAATCCGTGACAGTCTTGGAATGGAATCTGTATGACCTTAAATAGAGGACAATTGTTTTTCTAATTGCATATGCTGACATCAGGTGATGTGCATGTTGTGAACTGTGGTAAAAAAAAAATGTTTTTCTGACCCACCTGCCTTTTGCTTTCTATATCTCTTTTTTTTATATATTTTTTTTTTCAATAAAGTACAATTAATAAAAATAATTGCAATATAGTTGAATTTTTTTATTTTTTTTTTAATACCAGATTTCTTGTAATAAAATGCTTTTGGAAATATATGAAGACCATTTAGTATTTAAGGGACACATTATAGTACAAATGTCATTCAACATGAAATATGGATTAGTTTTGGTAAATTCAAGTTTGGTAATCCAAGATATTGGAACTTCTGTTTCCAGAGATAGCATGCATTTATTCACAGCAAAAATGTAATAAAATAAAAATACAAAGTGCAGAAAAAGACCTTAATCCCATTTTTAATCTGCAAATCTTTATATACACAAAATGAACATAAGTTCAAATAAAAGTGATTTAACATATTCAACTGGACATAGTTCACATTGCAAAAATGTCATGATTCATATGTGTTTCTAATTGTATATGATAAAATCAGTTCTAATCTAATCTGAAATGTCTTTGTAAATATGAAATCTCCAACTGGTTGCGAGTATTAAAGAGATATCAACCAGCAACAATATGTCTTTACATTTAAAAAAGCATGATTTCAGTCAAGTCTTGCTTAAAAGTAAATTACATTTAACTTTATTTTAAATCAAATCCATCCTGCTATCTGTCTAATCTCAGGAACTCATGTTTTGTTTAATTGTGTATTTTTAGGAACAGTTACAAAAACTGGAAGCAGAACTGAGAGAAGTGAATAAAAACAAAGAAAAACTGCGTCGAAACCTCCTGGAGCTCACGGAGTATACCTACATGCTGCGAGTGACCCAGAACTTTGTGCAGAGGTCGACTGAGGTACTGTTTTGTTCCTGAGAAAATCTAAAGAGATAGATATAGATAGATAGATAGATATATATTGTTATTTCTAGTTAATGAACTGGGTTCGGATGGATTAGAGTCTCAAGGATCTCAAACTATTTAAAGCAACTCTGTCCTTGTCTAGGGTCTTTGCATAATTTGCAAACATCCTTAAATTTGACTCCTCTGCTTGGTAGGCATGGGCCGAAACCGAAAATTCAGGATGCCCTTAGTCGAAAAATTACTTTTTTTTTTTTTTTTTTTCTCCAAATTATTTTTATATATATTTCCCTTCAAACTTTGATGAAAGATTATATTAAAAATCATTTTGAGGTGACATGCTTTAACCCCTTAAGGACACATGACATGTGTGAGATGTCATGATTCCCTTTTATTCCAGAAGTTTGGTCCTTAAGGGATTAAAGGAATACTATAGTGTTAGGAACAAAAAATTTATTCCTAAAGCAATCGTGTCCTAGTCACTGTTTAGGTGACTAGGCCAGTGCTGCCAAGGTTTATAAAAAAAAAAAAAAAAAAATTATTATATTTGCCTTTTCTCCCTCAGAGCAACGGTGTCTACTCAGACACGATCTGATTAAAATAGCGGAGTTTTACTCAGATCGTGTCTAGTGCCTGCCATACTGACAATTACTAGAGACCGGTTAACAATGAACTGTTACTTATAATTACAGAAACTTCAAACACTTAAAGTTATACTATAGTGCTAGGAATATAAATCTTCCTCTCGTCCCCTGTTGATAAAAGGCTAAAAAAAAAACTTTCTTTACTCACCCGATTTCAGCACTGATGTCCCTCGGCGCTACCCCTCCTCAGACAGGGGGACGACGACCAAATGCGCATTAAGGTCATCCCCATAGGAAAGCATTGTATCATTGCTTTCCTATTGGGATTTAAGTGACGCTGGGCGTCCTCATGCAGAGTGTGAGAACAAGCGTGAGTTAGGCAACATAAAATCCCTGAAGCACCTCTAGTGGCTGCATTGTAAACATGTGACAGGAACACTGCACCCAGACCACTTCAAAGAGCTGGAGTGGTCTAGGTGAACATAGCGTGCCCTTCACTATTCCAGAAATAATACAGGGGGCAGAGCTACATCTATATGAAGTTGTCACATTTATCTGAATGTATAATAAGTGTTTCATAAAGGTTTTAGATGCATGTTCTCAAACTGCATGAAAAAAATCAATAAAAAAAAAGGCAGAGGAAGCCCTTATACACTCTACCATGCAGGTCCTGGGCTACCAGCAGCGGGCACTGTCGCAGCATTGACGCATTCTGATTTGGTCGCCCAGTACACAAAACAGCTGTGGGAGGGGAAAAGGGGCAGAGTAACACTCGCCCTGCTACATGATTGGCGGCTGAAACAAAGCGCGGGCACAGAGATCGCCATACAGTCTGCTGACAATCAGAAGTAATCTTTCATAGTCAGGCTAGCTGCAGGCAGACTGTGAGCTGCCTGACTAGGTTTGCTTAGCGTAGCTTTGCCGGTGAAGGTTCAGGGTGCTGTACTGCTTCCTCGCATAGTGTGTGTGAAATCCCAGCCAGCTCTGGTCGGTCACTAGCTCTGTAGTGCAGGAAAGCATGGAAGCCGTTATTTTATTAATGTAGACAAAATATTTGAAATAGATATATATATATATATATATATATATATATATATATATATATATATATATATATATATATATATATATATATATATATATATATATATATAATATACACACACACGTGTGTAATTTTCGGCCGAAAATTTCGGTGCATCCCTAGTGTCCAGTGGCCATAGGGAACTTGAGTCTTATTTATCTTATTTATCTGAACCCTTGTGACTGTCACCATGATCTTCCTTTTGGTCCTCTTCAGCTGCCAGGAGACCACACCAGTGTTGCACTCTTGCGTATGCCGAGGTAAATAGAGGAATCCTAAAGGCTGGTGAACGCTGGGCTGGATGATATGAGAAATCTTGACAAAGTTAGCTCAGTCTTTTGTAAGGTTTTATCAAGTGTAGGAAAAATACTAAGACAAAGTACAATCAAAGGGTAAACAAGACCCTTTTATGCTTCTTTCAACTTTTCTGGACAATGCTAGCTAAAGTAGCTGCTGGCTACAGCTAGACAGTACATTAGATCATATAGCAGGGAACAAGTCAATAAGCACTGTTACCTTTTTGGGAGTAAGGAAACTGTATATAAGCAGTAAAGGGATAGCTGGAAATTGTCATTCATCCATACACCCATGCATTCCACCATGCACACATTTTGCTGCCATTCTTCACATCATTTCTGTTGGTAAGATTGCTTACTTGTGTTATTTGTCTTTCTGTAATTTTCACTCACTGCATATACATTTAATTTTTGTCATTGTCTCATTTATCCTACAATTGTTAGGATATTCGGACACAAAATTATTTTAAAGGATAATTAAAAGTTATGAGCTAGAATAATTAAGAGTATGAAAAACAAAACAAAAAAACTTGCAGGTGAATCTCTGTCCCCTAAATGCTATAAGCTATGAATGACATAGTTACATAGTTTTATAGCTGAAAAGAGACTTGCATCCATCAAGTTCAGCCTTCCTCACATTTGTTTTTTGCTGTTGATCCAAAAGAAGGCAAAAAAAACCCAGTTTGAAGCACAATTTTGCAACAAGCTAGGAAAAAAAATTCCTTCTTGACCCCAGAATGGCAGTCAGATTTATCCTTGGATCAAGCAGTTATTACCCTACATTGAAAGATTATATCCTTGAATATTCTGTTCTTGCAAGTATGCATCTAGTAGCTGTTTGAACATCTGTATGGACTCTGATAAAACCACTTCTACAGGCAGAGAATTCCACATCCTGTTTGTTCTTACAGTAAAAAAACCTTTCCTTTGCCTTAGACGAAATCTTCTTTCTTCCAGTCTAAACGCATGACCTCGTGTCCTATGTACAGTCCAGTTTGTGAATAGATTTCCACACAATGGTTTGTATTGGCCCCGAATATATTTGTATAATGTTATCATATCCCCTCTCAGGCGACGTTTTTCTAACTAAATAGGTTTAAATTTGTTAACCTTTCTTCATAGCTGATATGTTCCATTCCTTTTATTAATTTTGTGGCCCGCCTCTGCACTTTTTCTAGTGCCATAATATCCTTCTTTAGAACAGGTGTCCAAAATTGCACAGCATATTCAATATGTAGTCTTACCAGTGATTTATAAAGAGGCAAAATGATATTCTCGTCCCGAGAATGAATGCTCTTTTTCATGCATGACATGACATCTGTTGGTAACTTCTATCATACCTTAAGGGAGTCATAGTGGCCTATGACAGTTCCTACTTTGTCTTAGTATATGTTTTGAATGTGTTAGAATTTCATTGAAATTCCAACTTAGTCAATTGTGAGTATTTAGAGGTTTTATCTTTATCAATTTATTTGGTTTAAAATACTAACCAGTGAAATTCATATGCTGAACTGCTTAAAGGACACTCTCTAAGCTTCAACTTTAGCATAATTAAGTGGTTTTGGTGTATAGGCCATGCCACTTTAGTCTCACTGCTCAATTGTCTGCCATTTAGGAATTAAATTGCTTTGTTTATAGATAAGAACTTCAAAAGTTCTGCATAGAAATATCTGATTCAAAAATCAACTTTTTTGTTTCTTTCTTTGATGTAGGCTTTGTGAGTTGCAGAAAGTTGAAATGTTCGGTTTTGTCCAACTCTCTTCCTGACTGCCTAATGTCAGTTCTGTGCATATTCTATTTCTGTCATTGATGTTCACAGCATGCCGCAACAGAAGTAATAATCTTCTCCCTCCATTCCATGGACCTCTAAGGCCCCTGGTGATGTCAGATGGAGGAGATCAAAGCAGGGAGTTTCGCCCAATGTTTTTTGTTTAAGTTTCATGGAGGGCTCATTCTAAGCCTGAAGCTCTTGGAGTAAACCTTTAACTCTGATATAAAGGAGAAACTACATAGACAGCTGCAGTATTCTGCATCGTGGCTTCAGGGGCCAAGCACAGTAGTTTGAACAATACTATTCATATATACAGCTATTTCCAGCCTTCAGATTTGTATTCTAACAATATTGTCTTTCTGTAGCATGAAACGGCTGCACATAGCAGCTATGAGGAATTCCCAGCACTGGAAAAGGAATCTTTAATGGATTATACTTGCATGCAGAGGCTTGGAGCTAAACTTGGGTGAGCAATATTAAAGAATTCTTCTGAATAAAATCATCTTCATATTGTAAAGCCAGCAAAGCCTACTTGGCAGCTCAGAATGCTTTAAGAAACTGTCCACAAAAGTATTTATGGACTGCACAGTATTTGGGGAATTTGTGTTAAAATGTTTTATTGTTTCAACATCCAGTGCAAAATAAACGTTATACATTTCATAGCATACAAAAACATTGCCGTAACAGGCGATTATAGATAATCAAAAGCAATGTTGGTTACATTAGTAGATCGAAATTATGAACTCCTAGCATACAGGACAATAGCACTGTAGAGGGTAGAAACATAGAGTGGCATACCAACATAAACCTACTCTTAGGTAACAAAATGGTAATTTAGCATGATATGGGTCAAGGGAGGCATACTTGCCAAAAACGTGGTGCATTGGTGAGTCAGCTTTATTTAGTGCAATAAATGTTAACTGGTCACATTTTAAATAACCCCTAACTAGATCTAAACAAGTGGATTAATTATATTTCTTTGCACTTTCAGCATATTTGTGAATGTGTACATTATTGGCCAATAAGCTTTATCAAACTGATTTAGTAAACCTTAACAATCAATAGCGTAGAATTGAGTCACTACAATGAACATGACCATATTGTGCTTGCCATGACAATGCATTATAACTCAGTAATATCATAGCCTAAGAAGAGAAGAGAGGGGGGGGAATAAATTCAAATGCTGTATCCAAAATTAAGATCCAATGAACATCTGCAACTTAGTGCGTGTTTCCAACAAAGAAGTAATATGGTAATCTGCATTTTTCTTAACATGTGGTTATGTACAAATCGTGTACTCTCTGCGGTTCGTAAAATAAAAAAATTGGAGCCCCCCTGAATGACTATCCCAGTGTAGCAACATAATGCAAATAAACAGGTGTGAAAGGGCTGTCTGTATGTCTCAAGCATTGAGCCCTCCAGGGCTCAGAGCCCCCATCCATCCCTTCCAGGTCAATCCTAGTCCACCAGCTGAACGTTCCTTTCATGCTGTGGGCACTCGGTGGTCGATGCCCTTACTTTCTAGGGTGCTGGTATGTTCTGTGGGTAGAAAAGCAACTGTTTTAGGGGCCAGAGGCCTGAGCGAACCATGATCGCTGCCTCCTAGCTCCCGGCCGCACTGCCCCTTATTTCTGGAATTTGCTTACTCTGAGGTTATTCTAAATGTTTGGGTATGCAAGTATTATAAATAAAAATGGGAAATATGGTGCAAGTTTTTAAAGAGACACTCAGTGTTCCATGTCAATCCCTTCTCCCAGGTGGTTGTAGCTCCAGTTATATACAAAATTGCTGCAGCTATAAGTTCATCTCACTCTCAACCCTATCATGCTTACTTATAGGTGCAATGTATTCAAATAAGATTCTTGTTTGCACTTTCAGCATATTTGTGAATGTGTACATTATTGGTGAAGCTCAAGCCCAGTTGGATACTATTTAGTTGGTCTGCACCTACCACCTGTTCTTAATAAATAACGCAACAGCTGATAATATAGTTGTTTTGGAATACATTTTTTTGTATTGCAGATTTATATCTGGCTTGGTTCACTACGCCAAGCTTGAGTCATTTGAGAGGATGCTTTGGAGGGTGTGTAAGGGATACACTATCCTCACCTACCAAGAACTAGATGAGTTTATAGAAGATCCAGAGTCTGTGAGTAATCTACTTTGTTAATTGCATACAAGTCTGTTTTCATATACATATATTTGCATATAGCATCATTTTCTCCACATGGTCCAGTCACCATTAAGTTGATGTCTGTTATTGCCATAATCCCTTATTTTGCTTATCCAATATCCAGGTGTGACCACCAGATCAAGCATTATTTATAATATAAAGCACAGTTTGAACTAGAGTGTGTACACAATTCCCCCCAATCGCCCCCAGCCCCCAATTATAGCGTTACATGCTGAAACAATATTTTACACTTGAATTGTATTTATTTATTTTTTGACTTCATGAATAATGGAATGCATAATACATTAATTTAAAATAAAATGTGTTATTCTTTTAGGCAATACATTATTTAATGATTGCTTTTCTCTATTATCAAATTTACCCGTGATGTCTTATTTTTTTTTATTTTTTTTTTTATCTACTCCATGTCTGTCTCTTAACTCAGAATATAGAGATGGCATGCATATACACTTTCCCTTACATACAAAGTATTTTTATTTATTTTTGTGCGTTTACTGGGATGCTCAATTTTGGTATTGCTCATTGATATCCGTTCCTAAGTGAGCAATTTCAATATTTTATCTTTTATGCTGGCATTACTGCATTTGTGACTTATAGTTTTGTCCTCTTATGTTACAAAATGATTTCTTTATTTATACAGAAAGAACCAACCAAATGGGTTGTATTTTTAGTTTCTTATTGGGGAGACCAAATTGGACAGAAAGTGAAAAAAATTTGTGACTGGTAAGTGTGCAAAGTGTAGGTCTGCTTCTACATACATTAAAGGAACTTGCTGATGTGCTTTATGTGTCTGGATTCTGCCATATTCATGATCATTTTATATATAAAAAAAAAAAAAAAATAGAATAGAAATTGTCCCTTTTCTAATTGGGGCAGAAAAACCAATCAGCCAGGCAGGTTTTCTTCCTCTTCTGTTAGCTCCACAGTATGCTAGGGTGCACTTGCTCCTTCCCCCTATTTAAAAGAGGAAAAACTACCGCAACAAGAGGACATAGTCTTAAATTAGAGAGGCAAAGGTTTAAAAATTCCATCACTAAAATATATCTAGTCATTTGTGCACATATTTTCTACAGTAATACATTATATATTTTTTATGATGCTGAAGGGAATTGATCAAAAGGGTAGGAAAATTAAAGGGACAGTTTTATTTGCTGCAATCTTTGTTCTTTTTCACTCCCTTCTTCCCTGTTTTCCTGTCCTTTTTCCCCTCTTCCCCTCAGTTTCCTTTCCCTTTCCATTATCCAAAACTTTTTTTAAATCTAATAAAGTGTAATTCTATTTAAAGTAATATAAAGTAATATCTATTACAAATACGTTGACGTACAAAATCAAACTCCGTTCACACAACCATTTATACCTGTCCCGGCGTGAGAGTGAAGGTGTTAGTTGGAAGGAGTCTAAGGCAAGTCTGTAACGAGAGGCCAGAGTCTCCATCTGTCATTATAAAACACCAAGTTCTCAAGTGAATCTCTGATAGTTAATCTGTGAGGCTTTTTCAGTCCACTTAGGGATTGCCTATGTTCTTTATTTTCTTGCCAAACACACTTTGGTGACCATTAATATATGCACAATTAGAATTTGTATTTCTTCTTCCAATTTGGAGAAATCTAAATGGAACAAAAAGAGTTGGGGGATCAGTTCAATATGGGACTGTTAAACTTGTAAGTTCATTTTCTAACTTGAACTTTAAAGGTAATAGGCAGGTACATTCCCACCATATATGCCGTATAGTTCCAGTTTCCCTCTTGTATCTCCAACAAAGATCTCTAATGTTGGGTTGAAACTTACTTAACCTTTCTGGTGTCAGATACCATCTTTGTCAAATGTTGAGATAATTCTCAAACAGTGAAATACTATGAATAGTTTGTTTTGTCAGATTTAAAGCGGTAACCCATTCACTGGATACAAATTCTGTGCTCAGCTCCCTTTCCCATTTCATAATCCCACAAAGCTTTGTACCCGTTTTGCTCGTATACAATAATTCTCTAATCTTAGAAGACAAATTGGAGCAATTATCTACAGTAATACATTTTTATTTCTTTGTTTACTGTTAACTTGCCCAACAATTGTCAGGGAACTATGTCATTGCCAAACAATTTCATTTTAAAATAATGTCAAGTTAGATACAGCTATGTGGCTACTGTTTGCTTCTGCTTACATATCTGTCTGTAGAGTGGTACATATAGCTTCTAAGTGTCCTTGTTTTTGATAGGTCTGCCATTGCAATGTTAGTGTAAGACAAAGTGCAGCTATAAAACTCATACTATAGTGTTAAGCGTTATAACAATATGTGCTAGTATGTTGGACAATTTAATAATTATTTCAATTATGATAAATGTCTAATATGGTTATTAAACGTGCTGGTCATTCTACCTATTTATTGTGTTTGTTACTATTATTAGCAAATGAGTACGTAAAATTTGTATTCCTATATTTGATTACCATCCACAACTCAAACTAAAATTCTAATGGAACAAATGGATATGCACACATCTTGTTTATCCCTAAAACCTGGCTTATTGCATATTATCAGGCCACATACTAGGACATGTGGGATGACTTGCTAGACACATGAAGACCACTGCATTGATCCCTAGGTAGAAGCAGTACATATTATTTTTCTTTCTTTCTTTTAAAGCAATGCAGTGATTCTGTCCTCTTCTTGTTGATGTTAGTTCTTAGGCGTCAGGTTGGCTTAACATATGAGTTGTGTTCAGTGTATTCCTTATCAAATGAGTTCTAGCACATTGAGTATAGGTAAATGTTTTCATTTTCATCTTGCAGTTTTCATTGTCATGTGTATCCATATCCAAACTCTGTTGAGGAACGAAAAAATATTATGTCAGGGATAAACACACGCATTCAGGACTTGCACACGGTAAGAAAACCTACTCTAACTAACCTTTTAGTGGTCTGTGCACCCAGTCACCCTATCTGAATGTGCATGTTTGAATAACTAGTTCAGCAGAGCGTTTCTGAGCATATATTCTGAGGCCAGGTTAGCATAACTATTTTCTCACAGATTGCTTCAGTGTGAAGACCTTACAATGTATTAAATGGTTTTGTGGTCAGGATATGCTAATTAGTTTAACCATTTACAATTTTTGGTTTTGACAAATACAAATCTTTGGTGCAGAGTTCTATATTGAAAATTGTAAGTATGTGTAGTGGTGCCAAAGATTGAAGTGCCATGACAAACTTTACAAAATCACCAATTGTAAAGGTTGGAAGTGATTAAAACAGCTCAAATGGTAGATCTTTCTTTCTCTTTAAAATGAAAATGATATTCATGTAATGATGTGGGTCAATATTTGATCCACCCTACTGGTTGTAGTCCCTGAATGTAATTGTCGGACATACAGTTAACTTATTCTTTAAAGTTACTACTTGTAATTCTATGGTACAAATAATGGAGGAGTGTTTTTTTCTTCTATTTTTAAAAAATATTTTTAATTTTTTTTCTCTCTTCAGCAAGTTACAGTATAATATGCACACAAAAAAAGTCAGTCCCCTTTTGAGACGTTAGAATGATTTGAGATATGTGATCTCAGTTGATTATAGAACCTGCAACTCAGCTGTTCATCATTCTGAGCTTGGTAATCAGAGATCCATTTTAAAAAAACAAAACGGGTAAAACACCTTTTTGAGTCTATCTGTGAAACAGCAAGTTGTGGAGATTTAATAACTAGCTTGCAAAACTGAAGCTACCACAGAGAGAGGTATAGGTCTCACTTTGATTCTTATGTCACCACAACTTGCTCTTTAGGGGAAAAAGTATAGATTTCACTCTCTAAGGAAGAATAGCAGGCATATCTTGAGAGAGAGTTACAAAATATATCACATGTAAAGGACTAGGCATTCATTAGGCCGGCTTAAAGGCTTTTTATTCCAGCACCAAAAACGGCAACATTTCCGGTCATATTAAGTCTAAATGTTATTCGCTCTTGTCTGCATAGCAATGCTTTGCTAATTGCTCCTTATGGGGTCCATTTCTTCCTATATAGAGTATTTTATGATTGTGTTTTTTCCTCTTTGCTGTAGGTTATATCTCAGACAGAGGATTACCTGAAACAGGTTCTGTTTAAGGCATCAGAATCCATATACAAGTGGGTTGTGCAGGTCAAGAAGATGAAAGCCATATACCACATTCTAAATTTATGCAGTTTTGATGTTACCAACAAATGCCTTATTGCAGAGGTCTGGTGTCCAGTGGATGATCTGCCTAGCATCAGGAAAGGGCTTGAAGAAGGCTCAGTAAGTGATCAGCGAAGCACATTATCTTCAGCTTAGGCTTCTCTTATCATTTTAAAGTTTAGGCGACACCCTTTTTGTATATTTAGCAGTTCAAGTACCTTACCCTTTATTTTAGGGTGTTTTTGTGTGGGGTTTTTAAAATGTATTTTTAAGTTAAACAGATTATTTTTATGGCAAGTTGTAAACATGTTAAAACAGCCTGTGGCATGTACCACATTAACTTCTAACATTGTCTTAATATGCTTGGTAAACACTAGTCCTTTACCAGATTGTACATCAGTTCATCAATGTTATTCTTTCTTCCTAGCGAAAGAGTGGTGCATCAATTCCATCCTTTATTAACCGAATCCCCAGCAGTGACACCCCACCGACCTTAATACGTACCAACAAATTTACAGCAGGCTTCCAGAACATTGTGGATGCATACGGAGTGGGAGATTACAGAGAAGTGAACCCAGGTATGTGCCATGCTAACAGGTTTTGTAATTGGAACATCACTGATCTGCCTGGTAGTAACCAAATTGGCTTGTTTTTACAGCTCCGTATACCATCATTACTTTCCCCTTCCTATTTGCCGTTATGTTTGGAGACTTTGGCCACGGATTCCTTATGTCCCTTTTTGCCTTGTTGATGGTATTGTACGAAACCAACCCAAAATTACATCGCACACAAAATGAGGTAAGGCATTTAGTTAGTGCTCCTCTGTCACAAACTATCGAGATAATGAATTATCAGACCGACTTGGTTAACACTTTCCATCTTTCTTTTACCTCCCCTTCTTTTCTTGCAGATAGTGAGAATGTTTTTTGAGGGCCGCTACATCATCTTGCTAATGGGGCTCTTTTCCATTTACACTGGATTGATCTACAATGACTGTTTTTCCAAGTCGGTGAATATCTTTGGCTCCAGCTGGAACGTGTCTGCCATGTATCCAGATGGTTCAAGGTGAGTGTGACCGTGTAATCGGACAGAGAAAGTTGCATCTTTACCTCTTGCTATTACTTTCTCATTTGCACTAAAGAAAAACTTAAAAAAGAAAATTACATCCACCTCAGAAATATTTCGCAAAAGTGCTAGAGATTTGTTTGTGACGATATGCGGTGTATAGCAAATTTTTACACCACGCGAGAACTGTATAACGTACTTATTCATCAAAGAACAATAGCAGTAATCCATAGTCATAAGACGGTTTACTAATTAAAGCTGAAAAAGGCTGATGGCACAAAAAGTGACATGTGCAACATTCTCCCGTATTGTCTGTTTATAGTCAAGAGCACCAAATCCATACATGTGGTGTCCTTTTGGTCAGTGCCTGATGCTAAAACCTTCCTCTGCAGGGTTCATTCCTTCAGTGTATAGTACTTTTTGGCAGGGTTATTCAATGCAGTGGGAATTCAATGTGAGTTTCAATTTAAGGCAAACGAACATTAAGCAGCTGAACTGGAAACCATCTCCAAATCAGCTGTTATTTCAGTACATCTACTCTGCCCTTTAAGGCATACTATAGTGTTAGCAATACAAACCTGTGTAATTTATATTTGACACAGATTTTTAGTATAATCTCCTGTTGCAAAACAATAGTAATGTTTTTTCATTTAGTATCTCTTTATTATATGTTTTTTGTGTGTACAAAAACGGTTAAAGAAAACTTAGATACAATATATATCCAATAAAACATACAATTATGCATTTAACAAATATATTACATTTAACAATTCCAAAAATACAGCTCCCACAAAGTGCACATTATATGCTGCCATCCCAAACAAAAACAGTAGTAATGTTGGCCGCATTGTGATGATTCTGCTCATTTATGTGTTAATTAAGATAAGTTCTGAAACTTTTATTTCTCCTGCTTGGCCTCATTAAAATACATGTGAAATACAAACAGTGTGGGTGACAAGGTTTAACTTAAGCTTAGGAAAACTCAACCAAATGATGCTTGTGCCATCCCACAGTGAAATCATGGGATGTAGAGGTGCCACTTCTAATCTACACAGCCTCCTGCTGACGCACTGTGTGTTTGCATTGTCTGTCATACAAGTAAAGCCGTTTTAAAAAGAGAAATATTAGAATTTATATTGCAATTTGATTAGATGACATTCTATACAGTGCCACTTTGTCATTCTGTTTTAGTGCTTATTAAATTAAAACTATAGTGTCAGGAATACAAACATGTTATAATTGTTTAGGTTCCTGATTAATTGCAGTACAAAGGTGTTTAAATTTACCCCACCATGCTGTGCCAGTCTCACCTGACTGACACTGCCTTCGTCATTTTTAATGATATCAGCCATTCCAATACTTTCCCATAGGAAAGCATTTGGAGGCTATTGCGCATGCACAGCAAAATACTGCTCTGCGCCAATCTGCATATCCTCATAGACATGCCTTGAATCAATGTTTCCCTTCGGGGAACATTGAGCAGAGCGTGTTGACGCGGAATGTCTGTTCTGCACACTGTGCAGCACTGGATTAGCAAGCACCTCAAGTGGCCTTCTGAGTGACTGCCACAAGAGGTGTTCCTAGGCAGCAATGTAAACTCTCGCTTTTCTCTGAAAAGGCAGCATTTATAGTGCTCAGCCTGCAAGGGCAGGCTATAGACACCAAGACCACTAAATTTAAGCTGTAATGTTTCTGGTGACTATAGTGTCCCTTTAATTTCTCAGACTCTTTTTGATAATAAGCGATTGGCTTAGCATACTCAACACGTACCCAACTCATGTTTATAAAATATTTGTGTACAGAAAATTACAAAATTAGTTGGTAAAATGTTTTAATACCAAGATTTGTGTTTTGCAGTATTAAAAAACATGTAAATTCTACTTTCCTGGCACTGGATCCCAATGTAACAGGAGTATTGAAAGGCATTTACCCTTTTGGCATAGACCCGGTAAGTAATTTTATAAAGTGTTACACTTTAGTGTCATATACACTGATCAGCCACAACATTAAAATCACCTGCCTAATATTGTGTAGGTCCCCCTCATGCTGCCAAAACAGCACTGATGCATCGAGGCATGGACTACAGAAGACCTCTGAACGTGTCCTGTGGTATCTGGAACCAAGATATCGGCAGCAGATTTTTTAAGTGCTGCAACGTGGAGTCCAATGCAACATCTTGGACTTTTGTCATGTTCCTCAAACAATTCCTGAACAATTTTTTTTGCAGTGTGGCAGGGTGCATTATTCTGATGAAAAGGGCTATTGCCATTAAGGGATGTATATATTCTTCAACATTCTCTTGGTAGTTGTCAAAGTAACATCCTTATGAATGCCTGCACCCAAAGTGTGCCTGCAAACTTACTAATCAATGCATACCGGGAACACTCTCACAAGACTTGCTGTTTTGGAGATGCTCTGACCCAGTCATCCAGCCATCACTATTTGTCCCTTGTCAAAGTCACTCAGATCTCTTGGCTTGCAGAAACAAGCATGTAAAAAAAACAACTTTATATTGGCCATATAGCCTTTGTTTAAAATATGTACCAGGACAATGTATATATTTTATACACTGATCAGCCACAACATTACAAACCCTGACAGGTGAAGGGAAAAACATTGATTACACTGTTACAATGGCACCTGTAATATATTACAGTCCTTGGAATCTGTGTGTTGGAAGCATGGCAGATGGGAAAGCAAAAAGATCTGAGTGACTTTGACAAGAGTCAAATAGTGATGGTACGTCGACTTGGTCAGAGCATCTCCAAAATGGTTAGTCTTGTAGGGTGTTCCCGGTGTGCATTGATTAGTACCTATCAAAAGTCGTGCAAGGAAGGTCAACTGGGTCATGAGCTCTCAAAGCTCATAGATGCAAGTGGGGAACAGAGGCTAGCCCATCTAGTGCAATCACATAGACTAGCTACTGTAACTCAGATTGCTGAACCACGTCATGATAGGTGTCAGAACACACCGTGCATCACAGTTGCTGCATATGAGGCTGTTTAGTCACAGAGTGGTCAGAGTGCCCATAATGACCTCTGTCCACTGCCAAAAGTGCTTCCAGAACTGGACGATGGAGCAATGGAAGACGGTTGCCTGGTCTGATGTACCACGCTTTCTTTTAGGTCAGTTGGATGGCCTGATGGGTGTGATGATGTTTATCTGAGGTAGAGATGGCAGCAGGATGCACTGAGAAGACAGGCCGACAAACAGTGTTATGCTTTGGGCAATGTCCTGTTGGCAAACCTGGAGTCCATGATTTAATGTGGAGTTTATTTTGATATGTACCACCTACCTAGAGATTGTTGAACACATACACCTCTTAATGGCAATGGTATTACCTGATGACAGTGTCCTCTTTCTGCAGAATAATGCACACTGCAAAAACTGTTCCGGAATGGTTTGAGGAACATGACAAAAAGTTCAAGGTGTTGCCTTGGCCTCCAAATTTCATAGATATCATTCTGATTGTTGGATGTGCTGGATAAACAAATCCGATCCATGGAGGCCCCACATCACAACCTGCATGATTTAACATATCTGCTGCTAATGTCTTGGTGCCAGATACGATGGGACAAGTTCTGAAGATTTGTGAAGTCTGTATATAAACGCATCAGAGCTGTTTTGACTGCATGAGAGAGACCTACATGATATTTGTCAGGTGGTTTTAATGTGGTGGTTGATCAGTGTATAGGTTTCTATTCAATATACTGTATCTAGAAGTGTTTCTGTATCTAACTATTCTCTCTCTCTCTTTTCCCAGATTTGGAATTTAGCCACAAATCGTCTCACATTTCTAAATTCGTTTAAAATGAAGATGTCCATCATTCTTGGAGTGTCACACATGACATTTGGCGTAGTTCTGAGCGTCTTTAACTATTTGTAAGTGTAAAAGTAATGAATGGTTTCTGTAGGTGTTGTATTATAGTGGCACTGAACACCATAACTACCACATAGAACCGGAAAATCATTACAAAATCATGGTATACCAAACAAAACTGTAATAATTTTGACTAACTAAATAGTGCCCTCCCTCCTCGTTTAAAAGATTATTTCTGATTCTATTCATTCCTTTGTTGCATGTATACATATAATGTACATTTCTGTATAGGTCTTACACTTTTTTGTATGAATGTGACAGCATAGTCACTGCCAATATTTAGGGTACGTTGATGACACTAATAATAGGGTTATTCACCAAAGTGAGAACAGTTTTAATTTAAAGTGAATTTCAAATTTAAGGCCAAAGCTGCTCAACAGGAGAAATTCTCCAAGTCATCCATGCTTTCAGTTCAACTACTCTAGTCTTAAAGTTGAAATTCCCTTTGACTTGCCAGCTATTCTTATTTTAGTAAATAACCCTGTAAGTCAGGGCTCGACATCCCAGGTTGCCATGGGGGCATTCGGCTCATGTAGAGTTTAGGGGGGAGGCAGGCAGCCCGGCGTTCTATCTTATGGAAAGCTGAGAGAAGGAGGCGGGCGGCTGAATAGTGCTGTCGGCGAGGGAGGGAGCAGTAATCTTCCTGCTCTGCTCCCTGAAAAACCTGGCTCCTAACCTTTTTTAAAGCTGACTCCTAGATTCCAAACAAATTTGTCAAGCCCTGCTGTAAGTGTCTTACACGAACAAGTCTTGTACTTTGGTCATATCAAGGAATCTTGTGCCGCCGGTCTTTCCGAACACAAAGCTGGGGCTATTTCTGGATGTCTGACAAGTTTACTGCTGTTTACCATAGGGCAGCATTTAAGAAGTGCTGCTTGTTCATGTTTTAGGGTATTTAGCTAGGTGCCTCAATCATTAGGCAGTGAAGCAGTCTGTGTCTGTAGTTAGCCAAGCTAAGGCTGAGGTTTTGTTCAAGTGACATTTAGCATTCAAATCAGATTTAAATTTGTTTGTTAATTTCTGGTTTTATATACAATTTTCTGTATTTTTAATATATCTTTAATCTAATATATAGGTAGGCTATCTAGGAAGTTGTTTTGTTATTCTGACTTTTGTATTATTATTTGTTGCTAAGGCATAGCCCATATTACCACTAACACTGCTCAGACAGGGTTATTTGCTCAAGTGAGAATTCAAAGGAACTTTCAAATTTTAGGCAAAAGTATGAAATGAAACACAGCTTCCTGAGAATATTTTTCCAGTTCAGCTATTTTGACCTAAAATTGGAAATTAACTTTGAATTCTAACTTTAGTTAAGAAACCGAAGAGAGTTTAAACCGAAACCGAGGTCAAAATTTAAAAAACACTCCAAGCAACATAACCATTGCAGCATGCTGTAGTGGTTATGGTGCCAGAAGTACCCTGTTGCCAGAACTGCTTCTGGTCTGAGTTATATGGTACAGTGGAATTTGAAACTTCCAAATTATCATATCAATTTTTGCCAAGACGAGACACTTCCACTTCACCATATATAACGTTTGGGAGGTTTGGTGTAGTTTGAACATATAACTGACCCAAAACTGGCACCATAACCATTATTTAAGTTGCAGTGTTATGGTTGCCCTTTTTAAGCATAATGCCATACTGATGGAGGGAAATAAATCCACCTTTGCTTTTCTTTTTTTTTTCTTTTTTTAATTCCTAGGCACTTCAAGAAAACATTTAATATATTTCTGGTGTTTATTCCGGAGTTCATCTTCATGGTTTTTATCTTTGGCTACCTGGTGTTCATGATTGTGTACAAGTGGCTTGCATGGTCTGCAGAGTTCTCCAAGGATGCTCCCAGTGTACTTCTCCACTTCATACACATGTTCATGTTTGCAACCGATAAGAATAATCTTCCTCTTTATAAGTCTCAGGTTGGTATTTTCACATGGGTAACTGAAGGCTAAATGTGTCTCTAAATAGGGATTTCCGGTAATGGATGAAATGCTTTATTTTAAACCTCAAACTCTGTAATCTTCAACAGACCTTTAATACTTAAGTAAGTATTATCTACAGAAACCACCATTACAATCTAGGGCAATTTTTGTCGATAAATCATTTAAAAAGTTTTTCTAACAGATTGTGAAAAGCTTATAGAAAATAAATAAACTGAAGCATTAGTATGTTGTGAATATAATTCTCTTTTATTTCTGAAGCTCAGCTATTCTAGTTTTTCTCTCTTTTTTTTTTTTTTTTCACGCAACAAGTATCGATACAAACACACACCTTTTTTATACTGGTAACATGGCAAAGTCAGGAAATGTTGAAATGGGCAGAAACTGTTATTTTATCAAACTTGATAGGACAGTATTGCGCACTTAAATTGGTTCTGCAAAATATGTAAAGACCCCCGATGATGACTTTGCTGCTTGCAGTGTAGTGGCAGAGGAAGAGGTGCATCTGACTTATCATAGCCTGCCGCCGTCGCCATTTTCTTCTGTGGGATCCATCTCAGGCTTTGGCTCTTCATCTGACAGGGTTGTGCTCTTGTCTATGCATAAGAGTACAACACTGATGTCTATAGAGGATACTGTGTGGAGGAGACACTGAGCTGTCCCTAGTAAAGGATGAGGTCTTGACAAAGCTCAACAGCGGTAGCTCTGCCTTTTGTCAAATGTAGGAAAATATAAGACAGTCCTTACTTGATATCCTTTGATTGAGTTGGGATTCCAGTGAGTATTTCGAGGAATTTATGGATTGCATCACATGTTTAACCCCTTAAGAACCAAACTTCTGGAATAAAAGGGAATCATGACATGTCACACATGTCATGTGTCCTTAAGGGGTTAAGGTCACAGAAATCCTAGTGAATTCATGATTCTAATGGGCAATGTGTGCTGCTATCTTATCATTTCCATAAGGACATTATAGTGTGTGTGTTTCTTTAAGATTACTTTTTAGATGTTGTGCAAATGTGTATTTATGTTATTGGTTTTCCTACTTTAGAATGGTTAGGTAATCTTGCTTGTATATTTTATGCCATGAAGTCAGGGGATTTGTAATGTTCTTTCTGCTGATGAGCTAAAATGTAAACATATTTTGGGATATTGGTTATTTGCGAAGTGCCCTTTTGAGGTGTTCTTTTCACAAAGTGTCTGATGTTTCTGTTAAAGTTTCAATAACATGCTCTTTGGAAGAATTGTGTTTGATGTACCCCCAAGTGCATAATGTATGGTCCTTTTTCATGATCAAATAATGGTAATTGGGGCGCTGAATAGTGGGACAGTGGCACTGCATCACATTGTATTGATGAATATCTGATATGCATTTGTAATTTCCCTTTACGCAAAATATTGCTTGAATTTATAGACTAAATCAAGTGCTTGTTAAGGTTTGAGAATTTGTACAAAGATAAAAAGAGAATGGTTTTCAAAAGATATCAATAATATATAAATAGTTATGCTAGTTCTATGTTTATTGCTTTATGAGGGCTTGGAGTATCTTTTTTGTTTCGATTGTATTTTTCTCGTAGTTGCAGTAGGGGATTTTTTATTTTTATTTGTATGTGACTTTAATGGTTTATGATTTTTCTATGCTTTCCTTTTAGTTTGGCATTCAAGTGTTCCTGATGGTCATAGTATTCCTGTGTGTTCCAGTCCTGCTCTTTGGGAAACCCATGTATCTCTACTGGCAGCACCATGGAGGTCAAACATTTGCCAGTTACAGAGTAGGTGTTAAAGTAGTGGAAATGCTTGAGCTTCCGTCTGTCTTGCTGGAATCATCTTATACATGATCTTTTCTGCAGAAAGGCTACCAATTGGTGCGTCATGGAAGTGAGGAGGAGCTATCTTTGCTTAGGTCTCATGATTTGGAAGAAGGAGAGGATCATACAAATAGTGAAAGTCAACATGAACAAAGCAAAGAGACGGTGAGGTTTGGAGACAAGACTTGTGCTGCCTATACTTTGGCCATGTGCATTTGCCTGGAGCCCAGGAGCTGCAGATATATATATTTTTTTATTTTTTTTTATTATCTAAGCTGGGGTTCTTTATGGCATAATACTGCCATTCTATAAAGGTTAATCCAGTTCAGTTCACACAGACAGTGTGTATAACTTAAAATCTTGCTTCTTTTCCTTTTATTTTGTCCCGTTTTCTTTTCCACTTCGTATTTTCCTTTAATAATGTCGTGCTTCTGTAAGCCCCTTTTATTAAAATAATGGCTTGTTTTTGACCATATACTTGGCATGGTCTTCATTCTCCAATACATATGCATATTTTTCTTTATACCATTTATAAATCAATATTTCAAAATCAAGAGCATCTCCTTAAGCAATTTATAGAGAACACTACTAAAATTGAACATAAATAATATAAAGCAAAACAAAAAGAAAACTGAAAAAAATATTCTTGTTCCAAGAAGTGGGTGACAATGGGAAATATTACCTGAAAGTTGCTCTCAACAGCAAGGAAGCCATCCGTTAAAGAAAAAACAGTGCTAATAGTAGATAAAGAGAGAGTGAGAGAGAGTGTGTGTGTGTGTGTGTGTGTGTGTTATATATACACTTTTTTTTTTTGGCATTAGTCCAAATAGTAGCCCCATATATCTTGGCAATTTCTTACAGTAGATACTAATGTAATGATTAAGAGACCCAATTGCACAATTAGCTAGAGCTCTTAAAGCTAAAAATAGAGACTACATAGAAATCACCAATATATACTGTAAGCATAGACCATGTACATCTGTCTGCGTCTATACAACTGGAGATCAAAGGCTTGTGTTCAATAGTTTGTTGGATCTAAATAGAAAAATAAAACAGATCCACAGTACTCAGTGATAAAAATAAATAGATAAAAAAAATATAGTTTACTCAAGAAACTTTAAAACCACTCATAGAACCAAGAATATTAAGTTTGCATGTCGGTGGTCCTGATCTGCACCTGCAAACTGACATAAGACTGTTCTCTTCATGCTGGCTTTTAGGTGAAGATGCTGGTTATATAGGTGGAGCTCATGTTACATACTTTCAAATGTATTAGTAAAAAAATTTTTAAAAAATCTAAATTCTGGTTTTATTAATTTGCCATCTTTTCTCTTTATCCAGGTTTTAAGTGCATGGACCTTAAAAAAAAAAAAATAAAAAAAAAATTGGGCAATGAAGTGTCCCGATTTTGTTCCACCAACTTCCCCAAAATTAATATACTGCCTCTAATTTTATATAAAATCATATTTTTAGCAGATTAATGCTGTCTTTTATTGAGATTCAGTTATGCCTTTAGTTTTTCACTGTTTCAAAATAAGTTTTTAACTCTGGATTATTTTTTGCAGTTTGATTTTGCTGAAATATTTATGCACCAGTGCATCCACACCATTGAATATTGTCTGGGATGCGTATCCAATACTGCTTCCTACCTTCGTCTCTGGGCATTAAGTTTGGCTCATGCACGTAAGTGAATATTTCTAGGCAAGAATATCTTGGCGGGGTAAGCAGGTGGATGTTCGGGTAGATAAACTTAGAACAGTGTCGTAGTATAGCTGATGGTTTAAATGAGACCATTTCATCAGCCAATATGTTGATAGTATTGAACACTTTGGACCAGTGGGCTAGCATCCTCATGGGATTTCATTTCCTGATTTTTAGAGCTCTCGGAAGTCCTGTGGTCAATGGTAATGAGAATGGGACTGAAGGTGGCTCCCGATGTTGGCGTCTTCCTACTGATGCCAGCTGTGGCAGTATTTGCCACATTGACAATATTTATCCTTCTTGTCATGGAAGGCATCTCTGCATTCTTGCATGCCCTCCGATTGCATTGGTAAGTGGCTCTGCTTCAAATTTCATATATATTTACAAAAGCTTTTTGTTTACTCCTGTTCATAAGTATATTTGAATCTGTTTTATCTTTTCTATGGTTGTTCCAAAAATAATTTACTTTTCTTTTTTTCTTTTAACAGGGTGGAATTTCAAAAAAAGTTCTATTCTGGAGATGGATACAAATTTACCCCATTTTCCTTCCATGACATGTGCTTATCCCTTGAAAGAGAGCATGCTCTGTAGATTAAGGGGGCACTCACGCACCCAACCTTGGGGTACACTGTTGAGGCACTTTAGTTTGTTTTGGAAATAGATTTGTTTATTTTTTACAAAATCAATTAAAATATAACTTGGCCAATGATAGAATTACAGACTCTGAAACATTCCGTTGACGACATGCATTAATTGTACATCTGTAATGGAATTGTTATAGCACAAAAGTAGATATACACACTTTGTGGTCTGGTGGTGTAGTAAGTGAGTTTCATTCAAGGCAGTATAGAACTTTCCTATCGGTTCTATCTGTTGGTGCACTGTTACCAACAGAAGGTGCAGGCGCTAGTACATGTTGTCCTTTGTCTCATGTAGTGTTTGTGAGAGCAGAAGGGAGACTCCTTGGCTTACTAGACCACAATGCATGTATGATGTTAAATGGTGTATAGTATATAACTAGTCTATCACAACTTCATTACAAAACACGCTCTTTCCCACAAGGAGAATTTTAAGTAGTCGATACAAAAAAGACTGTTCATTCTGACCATGTTACCTCATATGTAAGCTATACTGGGTTATTTACTAAAGTGAGAATTCAGAGTGATTTCAAACGGAAGTTCAACATTTCCATACTGAAAGCATAGCTGACAGAGTATGTTTCCAGATCTGCTATTTGTACCTTAGATATGAAATTCACTTTAAATTCTCACTATAGTGAATAACCCCGTGTAGTCTTCAAATTATCAGTATTTCCATAGGCTGAAGAAACACCCTTCTTTCAGTTATATATGTGAGAATATTTCTGCGTGTATTTTGCTTTAATGTTCTGTAAACCTTTTCTTAACACTGTTTGGGTGACACGTTCTGTTTAATTTGTACACACTGTGCCAAATATCTGTTCACAGTTCTAACAATTTTAACGGATTTAAACCTAGAAATAATAAGCTACATCTACTGTGAGCAGCAATACACAATGTATGTATAAATTCATACAATGTAAACTCATTTGACTGGCAAAAATTAAAATTCCAGCGTTTTGCTTCTAAATAAAAAGAAACCGTTTTCTTATAAATAAGCGTTTTGGAATATATATATATATATATATATATATATATATATATATATATATATATATATATATATATATATATAAAAAAAATTTTTCCCCAAGATAAAACACAAGATGTTCAATTAGTTTAGATTAAAATGAGCACATTTAATCCTCATTTCAAGCATTAAAACAAAATCATAAAAAACAATAAGTGAAAGAAATTTGTTTTCCATTAGTGGAGTGGGATGGTTCATATTAATGTTTATTATATTTAAATTCTTAAAAATTGTAAGACCGTTGTACAGTGAAATGTAACTGGGATGCCCGTGGGAGAACTAGATTTTATATATTTGTAAAGTTGTACATATCTGAAAACATTTGCTTCTGTTACTGTATTACACCATACAGAAATTCAAACTTGACTACTATTTTTTCTGAAAGAAAGTATAGAATATTTTTTACAATCTTCATTTGAAGAGTAAGCCAGAGTAATATTGTCACCTCAAAACTATTTAATATAATTCTTTCATCAAATTTGGAAAGAAAATCTATCTGTTTTTTAAATTAAGTACATGAAAAAAAAAAATCCCAAATAAAATTATATAATCATTCAGTCATATATTTGCACATTGGGTCAGACAGTGTTTGAATGTTATAGTTAGTCTGTTTGACGATAGTTGGTCTCACTGCACAGGGAATGAAGCGGTGAAGACCATAGAGACTATATAGAGGTTTTTCACACTGTCTGATTCACTGTGCACATCTATGGCTGGATGACCCTATCATATACTAAAAGGTAGGGATTATTTTTTCACATACACTTAATTTGCAAAATAAATACTATTTCCTTTCAAAACTCAATGATGGGATTCTTATATTAAAAAAATAGTTTTAAGGCGACGGGTGTCATTTTAAGGGAACACTCCATTTAAAAAAGACAATTTAGCAGATATACTCCAAATTAAACCTGTAATAATTTTGCATGTTTTCTTTAGGGGTATGTGGAAAAATTTGCTTGCAATAGCTGCAGATCTAGTATCTGCAAGTCCTCCTCTTCTTCCATGCCATAAGCTTCCTCTGCTGTGCTGGGGAATAACCACTGAGAAGCCTTTTGAACCACACATGTGTGTGTTGCAGCATATTTATAAGTCATCTTCGAAAGCTTTAGATGTTTGTAGTGTTTCTAAAATTGACACAATGCACCATAACCACCCGTTGTGGCCGTGATTCAGTAGAGCATTGGGTGCTGTGGCTTTGTTTTCTGTTAAATCATTTTAAAGCTTTGCTAAAAGTAGTAATCTCCCCTACAATCAAAACCCGACCTCTCTAAAGCTGCTTAGATAATGTGAAAGTTAAATTACTGTCATCCATCCAACCTTGAATGGCTATGTTAGGCTAGGGACAGCACCCAGAAACTCACTGGACAATAGTATACGGTGTGAACAGTAATGGTTACGTTGCTTAGTTTGCCCATTTAAACATTTTATAAAGTGATACCACAGTTTAAATGCATCTACAACTGACATTCAAATCAAAAAGTAATGAGTTTTTAAAGTTGCAATTGTTTTGTTGCAGGCAAAAAGTAGGGATTTCAAATGTTAATGTAAACCAAATGTTCAAATAAATTCTAAACCATTTCCTTGTGTCTCTTCTTATTAACCCCTTGAGGACGAAGGTAATTGTCCAAGTTCGGAACCAGTTAAAGTTTCACTAAGGTGAAAATTTTAAGCGAATTTCAAATTTAAGGTGAAAATAGTTGAACCGGAAAAATTCTCCAAATCAGCTATGGTTCCATTTCGTCTATATAGGCCTCGAAGAGTTTGAAATTCACTTTAACTTCTCACTGTAGTGAATAACTGTTCTACAATATAAGCTAAGTGTTTGTTCCATGATAATTCTCTTTAAGAACAACCATCTATATTAAAGGGACCGAAAAGGTTATCTTTTAATATCCTATATGTATACCTAACACAACATTAAGTAGGGGGGGGGAATCTTAATTTTGCTTATACTTTTTACACATAAAGCAGAAACTCAAGAGACTAACACGTTAGTACTGATTGTTACATTTCTCATGTCTAGGATCTTAATTAAAAGGACACTATACTGTATTAACAAAAACAATTTTAGCTTAATTAAGCAGTTTGTGTATAGATCATGCCTCTGAACTTTCACTGCTTAATTCGCTGCCATTTAGGAGTTAAATCACTTGTTTCTGTTTGTGCAGCCCTAGCCACACATTCCCTGGCTGTGACTCACAGCCTGCATGAAAACAAAATGGTTGCATTTTCAATCACATGTAACTTATTTTAAAAGGTTTTTGTCTCCTCATCTGTGTTAAAAAAAAAAAAAAAAAAAAGGCATTCAAAACTAAACAGAATTAGCAAAAAAGGAAGTGTAAACATAAAATGACACAGGAAGTGTTTAGAAATGCTGTGTAATTCACTTGCAGGGAGGTATCCCTATGGCTGTATAAACAAAGTGATTTAACTCCTAAATGGCAGAGAATTGAGCAGTGAGACTGCAGGGGCATGATCTATACACCAAAACTGCTTCATTAAGAAAAAGTTGTTTTTGTGACTACAGTGTCCCTTGAACTTTAGAAGTTTTTAACTCCTACTCTGTAGGTTTCACTTTAATAACACACAGGAGGCTCCTGCAGGGTCTAGAAGGCTATTAACAAAGCAAGAGATAAAAAATTTGTAATTAAACTAAATGTGCAGTAAAGGAAGTTTAAACATTAGATATCTCTTTACAGGAAGTGTATAGGGAGGCTGTCTATGTAACATGCAGGAAGAAATGACATGGGCTTCATAAACAAATTGACAATTCCTAAATGGCAGAGAATTAAAATGCCAAAATAAGGCAACCCGAAACTCAGGTTTTTTTTTTTTCCCCCACAACTCTATTTTGGCCTATCTTTTTCAGGTTGGTAATCACTTGGCCACGAGTCAATGTTGGGCGAATGTAAAATTTTCAAGTATCCCTATAAGGAATATTGAGATGGTGGAAAATGATGCAAGCAGTGTGAAAGCGTACATGAAGGGTGATTGAAGTTTGGGATACTGTTGGTACTGTGGCAACTGTGTAGGTATGGGTGCAAGGTGTCCTTAGATGAAGGAGTGGAGAGTCCATTCAGCAGCAATATGGAAGATGCTGTAACATAGGGTGAAGCAGAGAAATGTGATGGAACAGCGGAAGAATTGAACAAGCAATAGTTTGCCCATGGTCCTAATAATATTATACATAGCCCATGTTTTTTCTAGATTTCTTAATGCATTAAAAAAATCTGTCCCTTCAACAATATTTCAATATAACCATTTCAAGTTTCAATAGATTCTGTATTAAAAGGACACTCCACTCCCCAAATAAAAAATAAATAAAAACCACTGTTCAGTAGTTATGTGTTTGTTTTTTTTTCCCATTAAAGTTATCTAAAAACAGCTTGCAAAAATTGCAGTTCACTTGCCTGCTCCCTTTGCAAATCCTCTTCTTCTAACCCTTGAAACAGCTACACCCAGAACTCACAGCACCTAACACTACAGAATTTCCTCTAAGCATAGGTAGCATTTCTGAATAATAATCCCCCGGGTACTCAAAACATTTATAGACGGCTCAAATTGCCTGGATTTCCTGACAAACCAATCCTGTCCACCAAGCCCTCCACCTAATATAGCTTAATTCACACAATGAATACATTTTTAACCCTTAACCCTCCTAACCTCCACCTACAATCTTTACAGCTCAATTCTCCATATCTTAAAAACATCACCTATTCTCACTTCCCTCATTATTAAAATCTCTCTATCCTTTTACTTACCTGTTTCTGCTGACACCATCTTCATTGCTCCCTCTCTACTTCCCTCATCTCTGTATACATCACATGCACTTTACTCATATTTATCCAGTCTTTCTCCACAAACCCCTCCTAAATACAAGCTTTCACCCCACTACTCCTTTAAAACTCTTCCCCCCCCACCCCCTCTTTCCCATCATTTGAAATTAATTTGATTCACCTTTTCAAACCCTTCTCTGCTAACATTGCTGTTATTTATGGTTCCCCTCTCCTCTTCCTTGACCACTTTGCTGCCTGGCTCCCCTACTTCCACTCTTCTAATATTCCATCCCTATTTCTTGGGGACTTCAATATTGCCATTAACCCACTTTTGACATCAGTAGCCTCTAAACTACTTTCAATTACTTCCTCCATCGGGCTATCGCAGTGGGCTAATTCTCCCACTCATGTAGCTGGCAATCCCCTCAACCTCATTCTCTTATGGATATACAGTGTCTAATATCTCCAACACTCCATTTCCTCTCTCTGATCACCAGCTCTTATCATTTGCTCTCAAGTACCCCCTTATCCAACAACCTCAGCCTAACCCTCCTCAATTCAGGAGGAACCTTAATTCTATTGTCCTCCAGCAGCTGTCAGCTGATATTGATTCACAACTGCTATCCATCCCTACCCTCTCCTGTCCCTCACTGGCCATCTCTACATATAACACTACCCTCACCTCTGCCTTGAATGCTGCAGCCCCGCTCCAAACATGCACCTTGAGGAGGGTACGCCCCCAACTGTGGCATACTAAATCAATCCGCTACCTGCAAAGATGCTCCTGCTGTTCTGAACTCTCCTGGAGGAAGTCTTTCACCCAGTCAGACTTTCTCCATTATAGATTCATATTATGTTCATACAGCGCAGCCCTTGCCCTTGCCAAAAAGTCATACTTTTCCTCTCTCATTAGTTCATGCTCCCGCAATCCCAGGCGTCTCTTTGACACCTTTAACTCTCTTCTTCGCCCTGCTGTGGCCACCCCCCAAACTAACCTTACAGCCGATAGCTTTGCATGTTACTTTACTGACAAGATTGAACAGTTAAGGCAAAAATTCTTCCCACCTTGTCATTCTCTTTCTCCACCATATGTAAAACATTCCTTTCCTACCAACTTTCTCCCCGGCTACAGAACAAGAGGCGGCTGCACTTCTCCTTTCCTCTCGCCCCACCACTTGCCTGCTTGATCCCATCTCACCTTATCAGATCTCTCTCCCCTTGTCCTGTGCCTTCCTTAACGCACATCTTCAACTGCTCTCTCTCTTCTGGCGTTGTCCCTGCTGACTTTAAACATGCCCCTGTATTACCTATCCTGATAAAAACATCTCTTGACCCGTCCTCCCCCTCTAACTATCGTCCCATATCCCTGCTCCCTTTTTCCTCAAAGCTTCTGGAAAGACTTGTCTTTGACCATGTGTTTCACTTCCTCAATTCCAACTCTCTCCTTGACCCTCTTCTATCTGGCTTCCGCTCCCTCCACTCTACTGAGATTGTTCTTATCAAAGTTACTAGCGACCTAATCACAGCTAAATCCAAAGGCCACTACTCCATACTAATTCTTCTTGATCTCTCTGCTGCCTTTGACACCGTTGATCATGCTCTCCTTCTTTAAACTCTTCAATCACTCGGTCTCTTTGACTCTGTCCTCTCGTGGTATATCTCTCCTCCCCGGACCTTTACCCTGCCGTCCTGCAACATGTCACTGCTTGCCTATCTTCCATCTCTGACTGGATGTCCTCCGGCTTTCTGAAACTCAATCTCTCTAAAACTGAGCTCCTTGTCTTTCCTCCTCCTAATACTGATCCTCCTCGTTTGCTCTCCCTTCAAGTTAGTGGTATCCACATAAGTCCATCCTTGCAAGCGCACTGTCTTGGCCTCACCTTTGAGCCTCACATCCAGTATGTTGATCTAATAATGTCACTGCACTGTACAGGGAGTGAAGCAGGGAAGGCCATAATACTACATTATATAATAGAGTGGTTCAAGCACTGTCTGACCCATGGTGTATGTATCCTGCTAAATGATCCTGTCATACACTTAAGTTGGGATGAGGGTTTTTTTTCTTTGCTTTTTAATATATACTTAATTTAACACAGAATACATTTCCTTTAAAACATCATAAAAGGATCATTATATTAACCCCTTAACGCCGTTACGGCGTTCTATGCTGTCCCGGCTTTAAAGGGCTTTAAAGTCGTTGCGGTGGCATAGAACGCTGTAACGGCTTAAGCCCCCAGGAGGTGAGATCTACTCCCCTCCGCCGCGATCCTCTTCTGGAGGGCTGCCTGGCCTCCCCTGGCAAATGAGGGCCCCGTGGGCCATGTGATTGCTCTCAAAGAGCGATCACATGGCCCAAAATAGCTGGCTGTGGATCTGCCAGCAGGGGGACTGTCTAAAATATCAGACAGTCCCCCTGCTGGTAGGTAGTGTAAAACAATTAGACTTGTTTAAAATGAAATGAAAAGTATATATATATATATATATATGTATGTAACGTCATGCAAAGTGTATTTTAATACTAATATTAGTATATATATATTAATATTAAAATACACTTAGAATGACGTTACATATATATATAATATGTATATACACATATTATATATATATATATATATACACACACACACATACATACACACACGTATAATTACAATAATAAATAAAATAAAATATTGAAACAAAATTTTATATAAATTATATATTCATATGTAATTTCATTCTAACTGTATTTTGTTATTAATATATATATATATATATATATGTAACAAAATACACTTAGAATGACATTCTATATATATCTATCTATATATAAAATACAAATAACCGCAAATATATATAATATAATTACATAAAAGATTACATTAGTATACACGTAGAATTTAAATACCTATAAATGCATATATATTAAAATTCTACGTGTATATTTAAGTAATCTTTTAACATAATTATGTGATTTGATTAATTAAAATTTGATTGATATGCCTGACAACACAGGGAGAAAGTGCAGAGAATTAAATTTGCAAGCACTATATTTGACCCTGTAACTCTCCAAGACACCATAAAACCTGTACATAGGGGGTACTGTTTTACTCAGGAGACTTCGCTGAACTCGCTGATATTAGTGTTTCAAAATTATAAATTCTATTAAGACGATATTTTAAGTAAAAGTGACATTTCTTTACAAACGAACAGCACTTTTATGGACTATATTATTGTTGTAATATGTTTTACTGTTTTAAAACACTAATATTTGTGTTTAGTGAAGTCTCCCGAGAATAACAGTACCCCCCCATGAACAGGTTTAATGGTGTTTTGGAAAGTTAGAGAGTCACATATAAGACTTGCATTTCATTTTTTTATGACATTGAAATTTGCTTGTTATGTTGCCTTTGAGAGCATATGGTAGCCCAGGAATGAGAATTACCCCCATGATGGCATACCATTTGCAAAAGTAGACAAGCCAAGGTATTGCAAATGGGGTATGTCCAGTCATTTTTAGTAGCCACTTAGTCACAAACACTGGCCAAATATTAGTTTTTTGCTTTTTTCACACAAAAACAAATATGAACGTTAACTTTGGCCAGTGTTTGTGACTAAGTGGCTACTAAAAAAGACTAAACATACCCCACTTTCAATACCTTGGGTTGTCTACTTTTTCAAATGGTATGCCATTATGGGGGTAATTCTTATTCCTGGGCTACCACACCGTCTCAAAGGTAACATTACTAATCTGGAAAAAAATTTCCATATAAGTATTCAATTATATTTCTATAGGTATTTTTTTTAAATGTATTTACAGATGAAATTTGCCAAAGTCACTTTCTGTGCTTGTATATATTTAAGAGTATGGTAGTGCATTTATTTTTAAAGTGTCACCCCCCCCCCCAGTCAAGAGATATACAGAGACAAAGGAGGGACTACTTTGTCTTTGTATTTCTCCTCCACCTGACTTTCAGGGCGGAGTCTGAATGTCGAATGTCGAACAGCTGCTGGAAATTGGCTGTATCTATGGAGGATCCCGCGGTCTCCCATCTGTGAGAGTACTACAGTGACCCGCCAGAGTCACAGTTAAGGGTCTTTGTAAATTCGGCAAAGTCTCAAGACGATAATAGTGCCGCTTTGATAACAGGGGTGCTTGAATTTCTATATAGCACTGTACTTGGGGGGGGGAGGGAGGGGGAGATTGTCCATTCCCACCTCTTTTTAGTTTAACATTTTGGGTCTATTCACTAAACAGTTATTTGTGGTTGTGAATAGCCAAGTTAAAAAACAAAACCTCCAGTTTGATTCCCCCATCTCCAAACATGACAGGTCACAATTTAACAAGTCTTTACAAGCTCAAAGGGACACTATAGTCACCCAGACCACTTCAGCTCAGTGAAGTGGTCTGGGTGCCAGGTCCCCCAGGTTTTAACCCTTCAGATGTAAACATAGCAGTTTCAGAGAAACTGCTATGTTTACATTATAGGGTTAATCCAACTTTTAGTAGCTAAAGGCGCTTCTGAGAAATTCG